TCTCAAAAGAAGAAATTCAAATGGCCAAAAACACATGAAAAAATGCTCACCATCTCTAGCAATAAAGGAAATGCAAATTAAAACCACACTAAGATTCCACCTCACCCCTGTTAGAATAGCCATCATCAGCAACACCACCAACAACAGGTGTTGGCGAGGATGCGGGGAAAAAGGAACCCTCTTACACTGTTGGTGGGAATGTAACTAGTACAACCACTCTGGAAAAAAATTTGGAGGCTACTTAAAAAGCTGGACATCCATCTACCATTTGATCCAGCAATACCACTCTTGGGGATATACCCAAAAGACTGTGACACAGGTTACTCCAGAGGCACCTGCACACCCATGTTTATTGCGGCACTATTCACAATAGCCAAGTTATGGAAACAGCCAAGATGCCCCACACTGACGAATGGATTAAGAAAATGTGGTATCTATACACAATGGAATTTTATGCAGCCATGAAGAAGAACGAAATGTTATCATTCGCTGGTAAATGGATGGAATTGGAGAACATCATTCTGAGTGAGGTTAGCCTGGCCCAAAAGACCAAAAATCGTATGTTCTCCTCTCATTAGATCAAGGGCAAACACAACAAGGGATTGGACTTTGAGCACATGATAAAAGCGAGAGCACACAAGGGAGGGTGAGGATAGGTAAGACACCTAAAAAACTAGCTAGCATTTGTTGCCCTTAACGCAGAGAAACTAAAGCAGATACCTTAAAAGCAACTGAGGCCAATAGGAAAAGGGGACCAGGAACTAGAGAAAAGGTTAGATCAAAAAGAATTAACCTAGAAGGTAACCACACGCACAGGAAATCAATGTGAGTCAACTCCCTGTATAGCTATCCTTATCTCAACCAGCAAAAACCCTTGTTCCTTCCTATTATTGCTTATACTCTCTTACAACAAAATTAGAATAAGGGCAAAATAGTTTCTGCGTATTGAGGGGTGAGGGGAGAGGGAGGGGTGGGTGTAAGGGAGGGGTGGGGGCAGGGGGAGAAATGACCAAGCCTTGTATGCACATATGAATAATAAAAGAAAAAAAAAAAAAAAGAACATTGTGATTCAAAAGAAGTAAAAATTTGCCACATTCACAGGAGATGAAGGAGAGGATCCCACCCCCTTGCCAAGGCTTGGGTGGAGGACAGAGCTGCAGGTATGGACCCTGGTGACATTGTTGCCATTTATGAAGAAGCTTCGTGCTGAGGGAAGGACTCTGGTGAAGGCACTGTGGACATTGTCGAGGTGATGAGGAATTAGAACAGGACATAAACTTGACCACTAAGGCGGTAGGTTTGAGAAGACGGGCTCTGATCCCAAAGGAAATTCTGCTATGGGCAGAATGCCGGCCATCAGTACTGGAGCTCCAGGGAATCTTCCACTGTTTCAGGAACGACGAGGGAAACAAAGTCACCGAGACCATTTTTACAGGAAGCAGGGAGTTTATTACTCTAGGGGACTCAGGAGAGAGAATTTCTCCAGCCCTGAACCCTGATCTGTGTCAGGGTCTTGGTTAAATACACAGAGTTTGTCCCCTTACCCTCCATTACAATCCCCCCCCACCTTTATATTATGCAAATTACAGTTGCCGGGGAACTTTGCAAGGCTTTCGGGTGGCTCAATGTTGCAGAGCTAGCAGAAAGCTCCTTGTAGATTCATGGTGGGGAAACCAAGGTAAATACAGACACAGTAAATCCCAGGAAAATAGCAAAGCTGGCCCCAACACCAGGAGAGCCTCAAGTGACAGCAAAGATCATGACGGTCTCATTGAAGAAGTGATCCCAGAACCCAATCTTCAGCCACCACCACCCAGCAGTCAGAAGCTGTCCACATAAAAGCAAGAAGCCAGCAAGCAGATGGTGACCTGCTGAAGTCTCAGGTGGTTGTCAGCAAATACATGTATTTGGTGGTACTGGGGTCTGAACTCAGGGACTCACACTTGTCTAGCTCTCCTACTTGAGCCATGCCCCAGTCCTTTTTGCTTTTAGTTTATTTTTCAGATAGAGTCTTGTGCTTTTTGCTTGGGTCCAGTCTTAGATTTTGATCCTCCCATCTCCACCTCCCATGTAGCTGATATTATAGATATGCACCAGCATGCCCAGATTGTTCTTTGACAGAGGATCAAACTTTTTGCACAGGCAGGTCTTAAATTGTGATTATCCTATATCTATCTACTGAATAGCTAGCAGCGATAAAATATTTTAAAACTAAGGTATGCTCAGTTTTTTTAGATACAATGCTATTGTACCCTTAATATACATTATAGTAACATAGCTTTTATATGCACTAGAAAACCAAAAGAAAAAAAAAATGTGTGACTTGCTTTGTTGCAATATTCACTTTTTTGTAGTCATCTGGAATCTAGCCTGCAGGGTCTCTAAGCTATACCTGAATAGTCTTTCATAAGATTTATTCTCAATGATTGTAGTTTGATGCTGTTGTGAATGGCAGCTACTGTGTAGAAATGCAGTTGACTTTCGTGTCTGAATCCATACCCTGAGGTTGCATGGTAGCCTCTACATAGATTCCACTGACTTTTCTAAATGAATGATCGTGTCTTTAAACACAGTTTTACTTCTCCATTCGCAACCCTGACACCTTTCACTTCCTGTTTCTTGTCTAATTTCTGGTACAATTTCAAATAGAAGTGTTTTGAAAAAATTTTTTTTGGTGGTATTAGGGTTTGAAATAAGGGCCTTATGCTTGCTAGGTTAGTGCTTTACCACTTGAGCCACTCATTGTGACTCGCTGTTTTGTTTTTAATCTTAGATGAGAATATGCAGTCTTTCCCTATTATTAGTTAGCCTTTTGTTGCTATAACAAAGCACCTGAGACAGGCTAACTTTATAAATAAAAGAGAATTATTTAGCTCAAAGTTTTGGATTATTTAGCTCAAAGTCTCAAGAACAGGGCACAGATTCTGGCAAGCTACATCACCTTTTGCTACATCGCCTCTGGCTGATAGCAATGGCAGGAGCACAGGTTAGCAGGAAGGAATCATCTTGAAACAGGAAGCCAGAGGACTCAGGGGTCTCCCAACTTGCTCTTGGGAGAACTCACTCTAGGCCAGTAGCATTCCCTTCCAAGGCGGTGCTCCCAGTGACTTAAACACCTCTCACTTGGTCCCACCTCTTAAAGGTTCCACCACCTTTCAGTATTGCTGCCTTGGTCCATGCATGAACCCTTGGAGGCATAAACCATATTCAAACCAGCACCTATCAAGTGTGATGTGAGCTGTAGATGCCTCACAGGTGTTGTTTGCATGTGAAGAAGTTCCCTTCTTTCAGAGTTGCTGAAAGTTTTATGCTAGGACTAGATGTTAGATTTTGCCAAATGATTTTCTATGTCAATTGAGATGATCATATGCTTTTCATTTTTAGCTTGCTAAAATGGGAAATTATGTTGCTTTTTAGCTACATGTCAGAGAAATTTGTTTTGTTATTTCACTTTGTTTTCTTGTAGTGCTGGGCACTGGGCTCAGGGTCTTGTGCCTTGCAGGTAAGTGCTCTACCACTGAGCTCCATCCTCAGTCCTTTTAATTATTTCTCAAGGTACTGGGATACACTCCACTTAATCATGATGCATTATCTTTTTAATACATTGATGGGCTTGATATGCTAAAATATTGCTTAGAATTTTGATATCTGTGTTCATGAAGGATCTTGACTAGTAGCTTTATTTCCTTATAAGGTCATTGTCTAGTTTTGTTTCACATGTTTTTAATCAGCTTTTACCAAAGATAAATCATAAACATATTTACATATCAATAGTTTACACTTTGCAGTGTTTGGGGACATTATAGCTTTTCTGGATTAATCATTTTATTTAATGTGGGATAGGTATTTCTAACTTTTTTACTATTTCAATCATGGTATATTCTCCTTTTGCAGTAATCTTTGCAAACACAAAAAGATCTTGGAATAAGTTCCCTGAAATGAAATTGAGAGCTGGTGCTACATATTTGAAGACTTAATGTATTATCCTTACGTATTTGAAGACTGCGTGTCATCCTTATGCCTTGTCTTTGAAGAAACCAGGACCTACCTTCCCATTTACAGAGTATGAGACTCTTTTCAAACTCCTTCCCAAACTAAATATCATTTTTAAAAGCAGGACAATGGTCCTTGCAGATGGTTAATCCTTTTCCCCACAGGAACTGCTTGTCCCCATCAGCCTAAGTTGGCTCTAAGATATGAGAAAAGGAAAATAGAAAAAGGAAAAATGGAAGGAAGGAAGGAAGATAGACTTCTGGGTAGGGAAGTCGCACCTTGAGGCATTAACAGGGATGTAAGTTTTGCTGAAAGACAGACGTGTTGTGAAAGTTTGCTTTTATCTCTAATTCTTGAATATCTCCAGGGCTGCAGGCTAATGAGCTGATGGGAAACGATTTTCGCACGTGTGTTTGGAGGAGAAATCATCATTTTTTCACTTTCAGAATGTTGAAAGGGCCTTTAATCATCATCAACTAGTCCAGCCCTTCATTTCCCAGACCCCAAAACCAAGATTGAGGGGAGGAGAAGGAAGCTGCCCAAGATCCCAGTAGCTGGACACAGTCATTGCTAAGTTCTGTTACTGCTCTGCCTGTGACCTTTCCACGAGTCTAGAACATTCTCTTTCCCCAGTATGCACTTTTCTAAATCTGATGCTCCAAGGGCAGTGTCTGCAGTATAGAGAAAACAATTTATCTTGCATTTGTGCTTAGCTTCCTTCTCAGAGACATCAGGAGTGTAATGGCTCTCCTTTCCACTAACTGAGGCTGATGGTACAAATGATTGAATGTGATTTGGGTTCAGACCTATAAAAGACTGCCAAAGAAAGCCAAAACCAAAAAAAAAGAAAAAAAGTGCAGCTGTGTCACCTACATTCCTCTTGGAAAGGTAAAGAAACCCATGAATTAATATAGAGATGTTGGGATTTGATGAATGTATATAACATCCACATGGGAACCAATCAGGGAGGAGGAGAGAAGCTCTATTAAAATATAAATAGATAATTATTAATAGACACCTGTAGAGTTGACCAGGGAATGGTTGACAGGTTGGGTCAACTCATAGAGGGCTTGGTATGTCCCAAATATACACCCCAGGAGGCCCAGGATGCTGATCACAATGTCCTTGGCGATGGTGAGGGTGCTCATGTCCTCGGAGTAAAAGGTGCTGATCTCCAGCAGGGGTGGGACGATGAGGGCCAGGGCGCTGCTGCTCACGGAGCCCACCAGGGAGATGACCAGGTCCAGGCGGGGGATGAGGATGGCCAGGATGCCTGCAGAGAGAGGGAAAATGGAGAAATACCCAAATACAATTAGTAACAAAGATTGCTGTGGAGCCAAGAATTCCACAGATCCCTGACACACCGTTTTGGAGAGGAGAGAGATAGGCACCCTACCACTGGACTCCCAATGCTCTTCTCACCTTTTGTATTTTACCTATTTTTTTTCACACAAAATCTTTTTCTAGCAATAAAGGAAATGCAAATTAAAACCACACTAAGATTCCACCCTCACCCCTGTTAGAATAGCCATCATCAGCAACACCACCAACAACAGGTGTTGGCGAGGATGCGGGGAAAAAGGAACCCTCTTACACTGTTGGTGGGAATGTAAACTAGTACAACCACTCTGGAAAAAAATTTGGAGGCTACTTAAAAAGCTGGACATCGATCTACCATTTGATCCAGCAATACCACTCTTGGGGATATACCCAAAAGACTGTTACTCCAGAGGCACCTGCACATCCATGTTTATTGCGGCACTATTCACAATAGCCAAGTTATGGAAACAGCCAAGATGCCCCACCACTGACGAATGGATTAAGAAAATGTGGTATCTATACACAATGGAATTCTATGCAGCCATGAAGAAGAACGAAATGTTATCATTCGCTGGTAAATGGATGGAACTGGAGAACATCATTCTGAGTGAGGTTAGCCTGGCCCAAAAGACCAAAAATCGTATGTTCTCCCTCATATGTGGACATTAGATCAAGGGCAAACACAACAAGAGGATTGGACTATGAGCACATGATAAAAGCGAGAGCACACAAGGGAGGGGTGAGGATAGGTAAGACACCTAAAAAACTAGCTAGCATTTGTTGCCCTTAATGCAGAGAAACTAAAGCAGATACCTTAAAAGCAACTGAGGCCAATAGGAAAAGGGGAACAGGTACTAGAGAAAAGGTTAGATCAAAAAGAATTAACCTAGAAGGTAACACCCACGCACAGGAAATCAATGTGAGTCAATGCCCTGTATAGCTATCCTTATCTCAACCAGCAAAACCCCTTGTTCCTTCCTATTAATGCTTATACTGTCTCTACAACAAAATTAGAGATAAGGGGAAAATAGTTTCTGCTGGGTATTGAGGGGGGGGAGCGGGAGGGGGTGGAGTGGGTGGTAAGGGAGGGGGTGGGGGCAGGGGGGAGAAATGAACCAAGCCTTGTATGCACATATGAATAATAAAAGAAAAAAAAATCTTTTTCTGGGTGGGGCAGTACTGGGGTTTGAACTCAAGACCTCACACTTGCTAGGCAGGTGCTCTTACCACTTGAGCCACTCCACCAGCCCCCCTTTTTTTTTGAGATGGGTCTTTTTGAAATAGGACCTTGAGAACTATTTGCCTAGTCTGGCTTGGAATTGTGATCATCCTGATCTCTGCCTCCTGAGTAGCTAGGATTACAGGCGTGAGCCACCAGTGACTGGCTCATATGTAATCTTTATTGGAAGTTCTCTTCTACTGTGTACCTGTTGGAAACTCCTCATTTTCAATGGGGAAGTCTAGAACCCAAGAGGGCCAAAGGTCACACTGAGTTGAGTTACAAGCTCACTTGCTATATCTAAGGTTCTTTCCATGCTACAATGCTGCCTCTCAGGCACATGGAAGAATCTGGCACACAGTAAGTGCTCAATAAATTCTTGACTCTTACCCACAAACTGTCCTATTTACATAATACAGCTTCTGTCTAGAAGCAAGGATGGAAAAAAGAGAGGTTCTGTTGCTGTCCAAATCCCAAACACTTACTTTTGTATCTATAAAAAGGCTTCTTTTTCTTTTCTTCTTCTTATTTTATTTTTCACACAGGGTATTACTACATAGCCCAGACTGGCCTGGAACTCACAATGTCCTGCCTCTACCTCCCAGAGTGCTGGGATTATATGCATGTGACACCATGGCTGGCCCTAAAAGGATTCTGATAATTTACCAAGACACAAAACATGAGAGAGCATTAGGGTGTCCACGCTCCATCTCCTTTTCTACAAACATTCCCTCTCTATGGTACAATAAACATGTAGCATGAATTTTACAAGAGACTTTCGATAACATTTGAATGGCTAAATAGACAATTCATATGATTTAATTTCATGCAATCGTGATTTTTCTATGAACAAATTAGAGGAAATTTGTTGTGGAAAGCCTCCATATCAGATTGTTACATTTTTCTTTTCTTTGCAGTGATGGGTATCAAACCCAGGGCTTCACACATGGTAGGCAAGGGCTTTATCACTGAGCTAGACTCCCCACTCTGGCTTGGAAGAATCATCACTTCTTTCTGAAAATTGCTCCAACAAATCCAAGAGAGCATGAGAATGACTTATAGAATCTCACAGTTGGGGACTGTCATTCTCGATTAAATGGTCCTTGTCTATGGCTTTCCTTCATCAGATGTTTGATAAGTTGTCTACCAGAGTTGCTACGGAGAAAATCAACATCTGTTCTCTAGAGAGCTCACACTGAAGGTGTTGGGGCCAGCTTGGCTATTTTCCTGGGATTTACTGTGTCTGGTATTGACCTTCGTTTCCCCACTCTGAGTCTACAAGCAGCTTTCTGCTAGCTCTGCAAAGTTACAAGCCTCCAGCTAGCTCTGCAGTGTTTCCTGTAACTGTGACCACATTCTGTAGGGAGTTGGGGGATAAACTCTGTAAATAGGTAACCCAGCTCCTGACACAGAGCTGGGCTCAGGGCTTTGAGAAAGTATCTCCCCTGAGTCCACTAGTGTAATAAACTCCCTGCTTCCTGTGAAACTGGTCTTGGTGACTTTGTTTCCCTCGTCATTTCCCACAACAAAGGGACAGAGAAGATGGATGATAACATCCTATACTCAAAGGACCCTAAAGATTCCACCAAAAAGACCTTGTTAGATATGATGAAGATTTTTGGCAAAGTAGCAGGATGCAAAAGTAACACAAAATCAGTAGTTTTTCTATAATGAAAAGACTGAGAAAGAAATCAGGAAATTAATCTCATTCACAATATCCTCAAAAAATTAAATACCTGGGAATAAACCCAACAAAGGAGGTAAAAGGCCTCTACAATGGAAAGTATAAAACCCTGAAGAAAGAAATTAGACACTAGAAAATTGAAAGACCTCTCATGTTCATGGATCAGTACAATTAATATTATGAAAAGGGTTATACTAGCAAAAATAATAATCTTCAAAGTCAATGAAATCCCCATCAAAATTCCAATTTCTTTTTTTTTGTCACAGAAATAGAAAAATCAATTCTAAAATTCGTATGGAAGCACAAAAGACCCCAAATAGCCAAAGCAATCCTGAGCAAAAAGAACAACAATGGAGGTATCACAATACCTGACTTCAAATTATACTACAGAGTCATAGTAATGAAACTAAAAATAGAACTAACCAGATGACCAACAATTTCATTCCTGGGCATGTACTCGAAGGAATTCAAGTCTGCACACAGTAGAAACACACACCCATGCTTATAGCAGCACTAGTCGGTCATAAGTCACACTGGCACAAAAACAGACACATATACCAATGAAATAGAATAGAAAATCCAGAAACAAGCCCACACAATTATAGCCAGTTGATTTTTGACAGAGTCCAAAAACATGTTGGAGAAAAGACTACCTCAACAAATGGTGTTGGGAAACTTGCCTCTGGATGTACACAACCCACTCCCTGCACACAGCACACTCTCCACTCCTCCGTCTACCTCCTTCCTCTCCTTGGTCTTACCCCAAATCTCCCTCCCCTGGAAAGGACTGCCTGTGGTGGAGGGTCCCTTCTACTTACAATCTAAGTGTCACATGGTGTCCATCATGGACCTACCTTAGCATTCATCACAGCGTGCTGGCATGATTTCCTTGCACATACTTGCCTCTCAGTTACAAACCCTGTGAGGGCAGGAGCCCTTTTAGCATTCATTATCGTCTCCCTAGCACCTAGCACAACGTCAGCCATGAAGGAGGCGCTCAGCAAGTGACTGTTAAACAAATGAAACAGACTTGATGGATGAACAAAGGAAGAGGAAGTGGTCATTCAGCAGGACATGTCATTAGATGGTCAGCTGCCTTGAGCCATACTTTCCCTGATTCTGAGAGGCCCAGCCTATTCAGCAGACACTCTTCCCAGTGGGAATGATTTCAGAGTAGTACATTTACAGGTTCCTAATGTCTTGGCACAGAACAGGAAACTTCAACACCTTACCCAGAGCAGGAGTGCTGTGCCTGTGGGTAGAACTTGAAAGCCCTCATCTGATAGCACTGCCTCTGCTGGACAGCTCCAAGAGTTACTCAGTTTAAGCTGACTCTTGCAGCATTTTAAGACTAAATTTGCTCTCTTTGTGCAACAATCTCACAGGTGTTCAAGGACAAATACAGAAATTCCTCAAGCCTTTGATTCTCTAAGCACATTGTTTTTTAGCTTTTCTTTTTCATTAGAGTGAATTAATTGTACAAGGGGTTTCATTGTGATATTTCCACACATGCATATCATATACTTTGATCAAATTCATTCCTCTATTACTCTTTTTTGTTTCTTTCTTGTTTTTTAAAATTTTTATTATCATTTTATAGTTGTACTGGGGGTATGTTGTGACTTTTAAGTGTTTACAATATATCTTAGTTCAATTCACCCCCTCCACCTTTCTCCTTTACCTCTCTTTCTCCCATTCCTGAATAGTTTCAACAGTCTCATTTTTCCATTTTCACACATGAGCACATAGTATGTCGACCACATTCACTTCCTACACCCTTTCCTTGTATCCTCCCCTCCCTCTGGCACCACTCCCCAAACAGGACCTGTTATACCTTCCTGTTCTCTGTTCTTGAAGAAAAAAATCTGACATTTTTGTTTAAGATATCTATATAGAGATTTTCATTATGACATTTCCATGTTTATATGTATTGTATTCCAAATTGGTTCATCCCCTCTATTCTTCTCCTTGCTACCTTAGTCCTCCTCTTATAGTGAGTGTAACTATACAAATTCTTGTATTCACTTTTCCATAGAAAGTACACCAACCATATTCACTTTCTTAACTTCCTTCTTTTACCCTCCCCCTCCCATTAGTGTCTTCCTCTTAGCATGACCTGTTTTTCATTCTTGTCCTTTGTTGTTTAGGTGTCTGTCAGTGTAAACCCCCTTACTGCACTTCCTTGCCCTTTCCCCCCATCTTGTATTGTTTAACAGTTTTCAGTGAAGCATCCCCATTTCTTGTGCTCCTTCCTCCGGGGCATATTTTCTAACCCTCTTATTCCCTACACACCTATAGCAGAGCCTACTAGGGACAAATGGGTGAATGAATGAAAAGAGAGAGGGAGGAGAGTGTTCCCAAAATGATCCCAAGTCGTTAATAAATCTGCCCTTTTGGTTTTCCCTACAATGGAACCTGACTTTATGACAGAGGACCTGACCATAACTTATAATAGAAAGACTGTAGCACAGTGGAAACAAGTTTTGGTGCTACCCATTCTGTGCTCAAACCGCAAGTCTGTTACCAACGCTGATGTGGGCATGTGACTTAATGTCTCTGGGCTGTGACTTCTTCAGTTGGTTACCTTGCTGGGCTGGCATGAGCAGTAGATATATATTCCTGGTACACGGGAGGCACAGGGGAGCTACTGCAGGAGCGATGCTGCCTTCTGTGAGTCAACCAATGTTAACTTTCTGTGTGTAGCAGTGGGTGAGGGGAACTTTCACTATGTGACAGTGTTTTAAGCCCACTTTTCAGGTGGAAAGGCGCAATCAACGGAGGTGAAGTGTCTTGCCCTAGGTCACAAAGAAGTAAGGGGCAGAGCCCACGAGGCTGGGATAGGCACACATGTGGCTCTCTGCCACAGCGTTTTGGGCAAACAGTGCCCTTCTTCCTACTTACAGGTCAGACAGACTAAGGCCGTGCGGGCAGACAGGTCTGTGAACAGAGCCCAGTTCTCTGACACCTGGGAGATGGCAATTGGGATGATGATCTCAGCTGGGACGTGGAACTGGAGGGCGTAGGTGAAGAAGATGCCAACTGAGTACATCAGCTTGACCGACTGGTACAACCTGCACACAGACCATCGAAAGGACGCGTTGTTCAGAGGCTGACACTTGTTCCTGAGTTACAGCACTGGCTAATGTCCAATGACTCAGATGGGCTTTGGGGGCACACGGGAAGCTCATTAAAGCCCACTCTGATGCAACAGGCCTGTGGCTCAGGAACCTAGGTTTTATCTTCTTTGAATTTTTTTTAAAAGTTCACATTTGCATAGGTGAAATTCATGGTACAAAAGTCATACAGTGAAGAGTCTCTTCCCCACCCTTGATTCCTGGTCTCCAGTCCCCTTTCCACTCAGTGGTTCTCCAGAACTACTCTGTGTATATACGAGCTTATGCAGAGTGTAGGCACACACGCATGCATGCACACACAGGCACAGTGGCATCTCTCTGCACATCGTTGATTCCATTTTTTCCCCCATCAAATATTTCTTGGAGATTGCTCCCTGCTAGTACACATAGATCTGTTCCTTGTATTTAAAAGCTGTGTGGTATTCTTCTTGCATGCCTGGACTGTAATATTTTAAACAAGGCTCCAATTAATGGATGTAAAACTCTGCAAAGAGTATCTGTGTACACATACCTATGCACATATGATATACAGATCCAGAGGTAAAACTGCTGGCTGAGAGTCTATGTTGTCTTCAGTTTTGATAGCTATTGACATATTACCCATTTGTCATCCTGACAAGATGTGAGTCCCATCTTGTCAATACTGTGTGAAAGGGTTACATTTTTTAAACTGCCATTTCTATTCTATGTCTGGAGCACCCTTTCAATGGCTGTTTTTTATTTGCCCATGAACCATTTGCTCACGTTCTTGTCCCTTTCTTTCCTTGACCTGTTGCTGTTTTTCTTATTGGGAAAGGACATATGCTTAAGAGTCCCTTGCAGAACTAGATGACCAGCAGGTTCCTGGTGACAGGTACATGAGCAGGTTTTCCAGCTGCTGTCCTAGGATGGAAGAGCCCTGCCCATGAGGGCGAGTGTTGGAATGATGTCTTACTTGTGGAAAATAAGGCAAGAAATTCCACATTAATTATCTCATCTAGTCATTACTAGGGCACAGTGAGGAGGTGGGGTGGCTGACATCTTTTCCATTTTACAGCTCTAATTTTGTAGGAAGTGAATGTTCCATCACTCTCCTCTCCCCAGAAAGTCCAGGGTTGTGGGGACACATGGAATGATGATTGCTAACACTCCATGAGGGCTTTGTACCTGCTGAGGACTTTGTAAGCATTATTGCTTTGTAAGCAATGACTCCTGGCAACCTCTCCTGAAGGAGTGTGGTAGTCATTTGTGCTACTCACCAAAGACTTCCAGACACTTCCCTGCACCCTGATTACCCAGAGGGAGTAAGCATGTGTGGAGGATGCCCCTTCCCGCTGAAGCTGTGCCAATGTCATAAGGAGGGTGTGATTCATTGTGCTCGCTGTCATGGCAACAAACCACCAGGAGATTGGCTGTTCCATCACTTTGAGCCTCAGCCATGCCATAATAGACAGGAGATGTGACCAGAGAATTAAGCATTTATGCACAGACATTGAGACTGTTTATTACTGGAGCATGACATAGTCTATCTGATTGATACAAACAGGGATTAGGATTATCCTTATTTTCTAGAGGGTGCAAATGAGGTCTACAAGGTTAGAAGGTTCACCCAAGGTCACATAAGAACCAGGATGTAAAACCCATTAGCTCCTAAACTGTTGGCTGTACTGATTGCTTAGTCACAATGTAACTCTGCTATTACAATCCAGTAACACTCGATGCAAGCATGCGATGTGCCAGCTTCCAGTGTTTCCTGGAACGGATAATTGAATGCAAGAACCCCAAATCACGTTCCAGCAGGGCGTGGCAATGACAGCTGAGGGTCATTTCTAGAATTGTGGGTTTGAGCAGCAGCCCATCTGTGGGACTCCGATGATTATTTTGAGTTATTTTTTTTAATTTTAACTTTTAACCCTAAGTTTTTTTGTGTGTGTGATGCTGTGGATGGAACCCAGGGCCTCACACATGCTAGGCAAGTGCTCTACCACTGAGCTACATCTCCACCTTTGAGTTATACTTTTTGTTGTTTTATTTCTGTTTCCTCAACATTTCCAGATTATCTCTGTTTTAGGATCTTTGCACTTTAGGGTCAGACAGATTGGATTCAAGTTTCAACTTCTCACACACAATGTGAGCTTGGAAATTTAATTCCAGCCTCTCTTCAAATGTCTACTAAATGGAGTTGTCAAGAATGATGCTAATTCTTACTGCTGTTGTAAGAAGTTAAATGAGGTAGTGCATAGGGCCTGGATTATTAAACATTTAAATATCTATTATTAAAATTAATCCTAATGCTAACTGCTAAACTTTATTGCTAAGGCTCAGATGCCATGCCTCTCCCTGCCACCATCCAAGGCTAACAGGGACGTACCAGCAATTGGGCAAGTTGAGGGTGATGCTGGCCTTCGTGTCTGACCCAAACTTCATGTAGCCCAGCGTTCCCAGGCAGATGTAGAGGAAGATGACAAGGGACATCCCCAGGTACAGAACAAAGGAAAACTGCTGTGGATTCTTCATCTGGTTTTTGAGAGGCAGAACCTGGAAGAGAAGAGCATTTGGGAGAACAAAGGGAGAAGAAAGAGGGGGCCCAGGGTGACAGTACAGGTCCCCCCAGCACAGCCGTCCTTCTTTGGGTGGGGTGAGTCGGGAAGGGGCCTCTCCACAGGCTGCCATCTTTCTGTCGCTGAACTGCCCTCCACGCCCTTGGCTGACTGGTAAAGTCTCCTCCATTCCTTAAGACTTTGGGTGACTATGGAGCAGGAGGCACCCTGTTTGTGTGTGCTGACTTCCCTTTCCAGGGACCTCTCCATGGGCTGTGCTTCCCATAGACATCTGGAATCACAACTGGCCAACCTACAGCTTGCTGGGGACCATCCACTCAAGGCATTGATCTTACCATACTCACGCCTTCAAATGTGAAGATGGCTGTACCAAAGAACAGTAAGAAGGTCTTCCAGCTTGCCACCAGGGGCAGGTTGCTGGGATAGGGAATCCCCTGAAAGAGAGCACAGGAAGGACATTGGCTTTGCCATGGTGTGAAGTCGTGGCAAATCATTGCCTGGCAGAAGCCGGGTCATGCCCAAGCTCAACAGAGACCATAGTGTTGGGAGCACCAAACAACTCCTTCTTAGCTTTTAAAAAAGTTATGTATTTTCATTGTGGCAAAATGCACATGACATAAAAGTTAGCTACTTTTTTTTGGCACTGGGGTTTGAACTCAGGACTTCATGCTTGCTAGGCAGGCACTCTTAGTGCTTGACTCACTCCACCAGCCTTAAATTCCTTAAAATGAACATTGGGGTGATGTTGAACACATTCAAATTGTTATGTACCCAAACTCCTATCCATCTCCAGAACCTCTCATCAACCCCAGTGCAGCTATTAAACAATTCCCCATTCCCACCCTCCTAGGAAGCCCTATCCCCTATTTCACATTCTGTCTAGGAATTTGACTAGTCTAGGTCCCTCAGAGAAGTAGAATTGTATAATATTGTCTTTTTTGTGCTTGGCCTATTTCAATTAGCTTTAGGGTTTCTTTTTCTTTCTTTTTTTTTTTGTGGTATAAGGCATTCAACTCAACACCTCATACTTGAACATCCAACAGGTGCTCTACCGCTTGAGCCATACCTCCAGCCCAGGTTCAGGACTTTGAGGTTCATCCATGTTGTAGCATCTACCAGGATGTCATTTATTTTTAAGACTAAATGATATTCTGTGATATACATATATTTGCTGTTCCACTAGTCAGTCAATGGACATGGTAGTGTGTTCCTTTTGGGTATGTGGAACACTCTTATCTTTACATGGGGAGAAGGCAGGACACAGCACAGAAAAGAGTTGCCTAAGGTTACTCTACAAGTTAGCTACACAGTCCCCATAAGGACCCAGGTGACACAGCCACCTAAGGGTCTCCACTTCTTCCTCCATGAAGTCTGACAGTTGATACAGCAGTGTCATGACCTAGGTGGAGTGATTTTTTTTTTTGTGGGACTGGGGTTTGAACTCAGGACTTCAGACTTATAAGCAGGTGCTCTACCACTTGAGCCACACCTCCAGTCCATTTTGCTCTGGTTATCTTGGAGATGGGGGGAGGTTCAAGAACTATTTGCCTGAGCTGGCTTTGAACCACTATCTTCCTGATCTCAGCCTCCCACGTAGCTCGGATTACAGGTGTGAGCCACTGGTGCCTGGCTGGAGTGATTATTTTACCAGATTTCTGTAGTGACTACAATAATGGCTACCTAAAGATGCTACCCAAATCCTAACCCTAGGAACCTGTGAATATGTTATATCACATGGCAAAGGAGAATTAAGGATTTTTTTGAGTCAGGGTTTCACTATGTAGCCCAGACTGAGCTCAAATTTGTGATCCTCCTGCCTCAGCCTCTTGACCTGAGCTGGGATTACAGGCATATGCCACCACATTGGCTAGAGAATTAAGTTTTCAGCTTGAATTAAGGTTGTTAATCAGCTGATCTTAAAATAAGAAAATCATTTTGGGTTATGTGGGCAGAACAAGAGTCCTTAAAAGTGGAAGAGAGAATAAGATGAGACCAGAAGGACAGCCTAAGAAAATCTTGACCTGGCGTTGCTGGCTTTGAAGATGGAGGGGGGCCACAAGCCTAGGCATGCAGGCAGACTCTGGAAGCTGGAAAAGGTAAAAAACAGATTTCCAGCCAGGTGCCAGTGGCTCATGCTTATAATCCTGGCTCCTTGGGAGGCAGAGATCAGGAGGATTGAGGTTCAAAGCCAGCAAGGGCAAATAGCTCATGAGACCCTATCTTGAAAATACCCAACATAAAAAGCGGCTGGTGGAGTGACTCGTGGTAGAGCACCTGCCTAGCAAGCATAAGGCAGTGAGTTCAAACCCCAGTTAACACCCCCCCAAAAAAATCCAAATCTGTCTCCCCAAAAGGAAGGTAGCTTTGCTGACACCTTGAGTTTAGTCCAACAAGACCTCTAGTGCTGTACAATAAATGTGTATTTTTTAAAGCCACTAGATTTGTGGCCATTCGTTACAGCAGCAAAAGGAAACTAATACAAGTCAAAGACCAGATGCACAAGTTAAGATAGGTGAGGCATGGGGCACCGTGTAGCTCAAATTCTTTATCATCCATGAATCCTTGGTCCACCTACTGCTGTTGCAATTTTTGTTGGTCATTTAATCATTGCTAATCTCCATGAGAGTAGACACTAATCTAGCTGCATACCCACGTGTTGTCACTTACCACCGAGTTCCTAGCCCCTTACACAACGACAACTAGGAATTGCTGAATGACTTGCTGTTACCTAACATGGCAATGACGGTGACAAGGAGGAGGAGGAGGATGTCAATAATGACAAGTAGCTTTTAGAGCTGGTGGGGCAGAAGTGTTCTTAGAAGCCATCTTGGCAGGGGTTGCACAGAGCAGGGGATCACTTGCTCACCCTGTCCTGCTCACTATGATAATAGCCCTCCCCGGGGTCTCTGAGGCCCTGCTCCCCCTTCCGTGTTTCCAGCACAGACCTGCACGATGTACTTGAAGATAAGCGCCATGCTCCCCAGCGTGGTGACGCTGGCCAGTGTGGAGAAGATGGACAGCACTTTGAGGTTCTGGATGAGCACCAGCAGCACCAGGAAGGGCAGGATGATCAGCATGTAGAACCGGATGTTTAGGATGGGAGTCAGCACCAGGACCTCTCGGGGCTCGCAGGTTTTAGACATGACTTGGGCCTCTTCCACCATCTGAGCGAGAGGCAGGGTGGTTAAAGACAAAAGATATTTGAATTTCAGATAATCAACTGGCAACTTTTTTGCATAAATATATCCCAAACATTGTAGGGGATACACTGCTAGTAAAAATGTTACTCACTTTTTATCTGAAATTTTGATTTAGCTATCTTTTTTTGCTTGCTTGCTAGGCAAGTGCTTTACCACTTGAGCCATTCCCCCAGTCTTTTTGTTTTTAGTTTGTTTTCTCGTTAACTTTTCCTTGGCTGGCCTTGAACTGTGATCCTCCTAACTCTACCTTCTGAGTAGCTGGGATTACAGGCATGCCTCTCTACACCTGGCCCTCAGGTGTCATGACTTTGTATTTGTCAAATCTGGCAACGTTAACTGTAGTGCCTGTGATTGTGACAACCAGAAATGCTTAGATAATAAAATCCCTCACTGAAGGGTCCTATGGTCATTTAGCCCAACCTCTTCTTCCCCTCCAAATGGAACTTTCTTTCATACAACCAGAGAAAGGAAGCTGGCTACACAAACGTATCCTCTTTAGAGTGTGGTAGCCCTCTAAGAGTTGGAAAGCCCTGGATATAGAGCAAAACCCCATCTCTGCTCCAATAGTCCACTGATAATACTTGCATGGCTCTTTCTGGCTGTTTGAGTATGCAGAAACAAAGCTCTTCTATTCCACAAAGCCGAAAAGGAGGCTCTGACATGTAATGTGTATAAGGGATGCTACAAGGGGTGGTAGCTGGTCAGACATTGTCTACGTGACAGCTGGTGAGGCCTAATGTAAGTCCCACTAAAGCGTCTCAGGCTAAAAACTAAGTTGCTTTGGCTTCTGTACTGTCCTTTTGGAGGACTGAGAGAACTCCCAATGGTGGCCTAATCTGGAAGTAGAAATGAAGCTGTCTCCTCGCAGGCCTCAAATGCTATGCTTCTGTTAATGGGGCCCTAGCAGCAGGAGATCTGCTTTATCCCACTCTGCCTAAAAGAGGCTTCCTAACCTGTTGTAAATTGTCTGCCATAAACATGAAATAAACACTGCAGAAACCGAGCTGGGTGATGATTAATAAGAGGCTGACTGTGTACCTGGAAAAGAAGAGAAAAGGCAGACAGAGGGAGAGAACAAACATCCAAGTTATTTTTAAGATTTTTTGTTTTTCATGGTGCTGGGAATTGAACCCAGGGTCTTGTGCATAGCAGGCAACCTACCCCAGAATATGTGTGTATGTGTTTTAATTTAATATAGGATTTTTTTTTTTTGCAGTACTGTGGTTTGAACTCAGGTCTCCACCACTTGATCCATACCTCCAGCACTTTTTTTTTTGGAAGCAATTATTTCTGTTGATTCAAGAAAATTATCTCCATACATTTTTCTTATTTTGGAAAAATTTCAAGCATAGTGAGTGTCCATATACTGCTTAAATATGCCAGTGTTTCATTTTTTGGTCCAGAATTGCATTATGTCCGTTCATATTCACACACTCACACACTCATTTTTCAGAATCATTTGAAAGTCATTCACAGATGTCATACTTCACTTCTAAATTTCTCTTAAGCCTGTGATAGCCAGAAAATCAACTTTAATATTCTTTTTTTTTCTTTTATTCATATGTGCATACAATGATTGGGTCACTCCCCCTGCCCCCTCCCTTTCTTCCACCCCCTTCTTCTTCCCCCTGAACCCCCTCACTTCTGAGCAGAAACTGTTTTGCCCTTATCTCTAATTTTGCTGAAGAGAGAGTATAAGCAATAATAGGAAGGACCAAGGGTTTTTGCTAGTTGAGATAAGGATAGCTATACAGGGAGTTGACTCGCATTGCTTTCCTGTACATATGTGTTACATTCTAAATTAATTCTTCTTGGACTAACCTTTTCTCTAGTTCCTGGTCCCCTTCTCCTATGGAGAACATCATCCTGAGCGAGGTTAGCCAGGCCCAGAAGACGAAAAATTGTATGTTCTCCCTCATATGCGGCCATTAGATCAAGGGCAAACACAACAAGGGGATTGAACTTTGATCACAAGATAAAAGTGAGAGTCCACAAGAGAGATATGAGGATGGGTAAAACACCCAAAAAACAAGAAAGCATTTGACGTCCTCAATGCAAAGGAACTAATGCAGAAACTTTAAAGCGATGGAGGCCAATAGGGGAAGGGGATCAGGAACTTTAATATTCTTAAACACGTAGTCCTTATGTAAGACATCCCAATTCTCTCTGAAATATCTTCTACAGATGCCTTTGTTTTACTTCAATATTTTTTAGTCAGAATTTTTTCAAGGTTTGTATTTTGTTTCTCTTGCTCTGGTTTTTGAGACAGGGTCTCATTATGTAGCCTAGGCTGGCCTCGAACCTGGCTCCCTCCTGTCTCTGCCTCCCCAGTGCTGCGCTGATAGGCTGCACCGCCGTGGCTGGCTTTGACTAGGTCTCATCTCTCTACATCCACCTTCTTTTTCATGACATTGGATTTTTTTTTTTTTGAGGAGCCAGGCGACTGTCTTAGAGGATGCTGCATGATTGTGTCCTCACAATGAGTTTTGGGTAGCACTTTTGGAAGGAAGGAGGTGCCATTTTGCGCCTCTGACCCATCACTCTGGGAGGCACATGATGTCCTGTTGTTCTATGGCGGTGGTGATTGCCAGACCTCTCCAGTGTAATGGTACAGTTTTCATTGTGTAATTGGGGTGGTGAAACTCTGAGGCGGCACGAGCAACCTGGTCCCCTCAAGCCAGTAGCTTTAAGTTTATAAGGATCCTGTCTGGAGCAATTCTTTCATCCACCAGAATGAAATGATGGCTCTCTAGTTCTACCTAACGTTTTTTCTCAATGTACTACTGGCATTTAAGACAGATGTATTCCTTTCCTTTTTCTTGGTATGCCAATACTCAATTTAATTATTTAAAAAATTGATATACTATATTCTATTATTGTCATTATTCCTTCGGATCCTTAAATTATCTCAATTTTTGAGATGCATTTATTTTACTTATTTATGTATTTATTTTTGCAGAACTGGGGATTGAACCCAGGGCTCTGCACATGTAGGCCAGCTCTTTACCACTTGAGCCTCGTCCTCCAGCCCTGGGCTGGCCTTGAACCAGTGAACCTCCAGCCTCTGTCTCCTGAGTAGCTGAGATGTATAGGCATGCAACACCATACTTGACTGAGATGTATTTGTTTTTTAAGAGGAAAAAAATATGTTCCTTTACTTAGATTCTCGAGTCTAGATCTGTGTGTCACAAAACTGGGTTGTAGTACCAACCAAGTTGTTGGTGAACACAGGCATTAAAAATACAGATTCCTGGTCTCACAGCAGCCTGTTGTGTCAAACTCTGATGGCGTCACATGAAGCTTTAGAATGATGATTCGGGCTGGGTGTGGTGGGGCTCACTAGTGGTCTCAGTTACTTGGGAGACTGAGTCTAGGAGTTCAAGGCGAGCCTGGACAACACAATGAGACTCTGTTACTAAATAAATAAATTAAAAAAAATTCTGGTGTTTATTATGGAGATTCCAAAGACATGCACCCATCCAGCTCCAATACTTATTAACCTTTTGCCAAGCTTCTTCTGTCTTATCCCTTCTTTGCCTTGACCCGTACTTATTCTTGGACTATTTGTAGCAAACCAGAGACCTCAAGCTATTTTATCCATAAATATTTCAGCATGCAGCTCTTAGAGATAAGGGCTTAGAAGTGTAACCATCATACCTTACCACTCCTAACAAACTAACAATAAATTGTATCATCTGATATTCAGTCCACATTCGGGTGGCTCCAATGGGCCCCAAAATACCTTTCTTGCAGTTGGTTTCCAAACACATTGCATTTTATTAAAACTCTTTTTTTTTTTTTGATGGGACTGGGGTTTGAACTCAATGCTCTGCACCTGCAAAGCAGGCTCTTTACTGCTTGAGCCACACCCAGTCTATTTTGCTCTGGTTATGTTGGAGATTGGAGTCTCTTGGACTATTTGCCCAGGCTGGCCTCCCAATCTCAGCCTCCCGAGTAGCTAGTATTATAGGCAAGAGCCACTGGCAGCCAGCAAAACTCTTGTTTTTCAAATTACTGTATTCTCTTCATACCATGTTTTCTTTTTTTCTTGCAACATTTTACTTTTTGATTGCTGCTGAAGCCATCAGATCATTTGTCCTGTAATATGCCCTAAATTCTAGATTTTGTTGGTGACTTCCTCATGACTTTATCTAGTTCTGCTAACCTCCGTGCTTCCTGCAAACTTACATTAGATCCAGTGGCTTGATTAGATAAAGTTTTTTCATTTATTTATCTGGCAAGAATATTTCAAGGGGGTGCATTGTACCCCATTATGAGACACACCATGTCTGGCTGTCCCACACCTAAACGCGAGCTGATAAGATGCTAAGCTTAAGATGACACGGGGTCAGGTGGCATCACTGACTTCTTCCTCTCAAAGTTTCCCACTGTCTTCACCTAATGGCTTGAGGCTCCACTGATGATCGCTGCATACCCATAATGGAGCTTTTAATCAAGCTCCCCGGATATCTCCTTAGTCCACTAAAAACACAAATTACTGGTTGAGCTAAAATATTTTCCCAACTCTTTAATCACAGGATCTCCAAAGAAATGCTACAGCAGAGCCCCATGGGCGGGAAGTAGATGTCCTGGGTTCCAGTCCTTGCTATGATAGTAAATTCCTGTGTGAGCCTGAGCAACTTTGTCACCCTGTCTGAGCTATATTATTCTCCATCCCAACGGGCTGGATGCAGTGATCTCTAAGGGCCACTCCTGCCCTAAATATTAATTCAGGGTGTCATCAGAAATTGATCGTGACCTCACCTGTCTGATAAGTAGAATGACTCCTGATTGGGAGATCAATGACCTACTGGGAGTCCCAAGAGAGCAGCTGTGGTTGGGATGTGGCAGTCACAGTGTTGACTCACTACCTTTGCCAGCAAAGGTTGCAGCGGTGAGGCGCTTGGTCAGATCTCTGTCCAGGTCTATGCCTCAGTCATGTGATTTTTTTTTGGTACTGGGGTTTGAGCTCAGAGCCTACACCTTGAGCCACTCCACCAGCCCATTTTGTGATAGATTTTTTTTCAAGATAGGGTCTCTTGAACTATTTGTCTGGACTGGCTTTGAACCATGATCCTCCTGATCTCTGCCTCCAGAGTAGCTACGATTACAGCCACTGGCATCCAGATAATTATGTGATTTTTCCAGAGCAATAAAATCCCATCCTGCCTACCTCACGGGTTGTTGAGAAGAGCAGAGGCACTAAAGCAGAAAACCATTTTGTACACCATTAATATTTTTCTTTTTGTGGCAGTACTGGGGTTTGAACCCAGGACCTCACACTTGCTAGGCAGGTGCTCTACCACTGGCATCATAACTAGCTTTCACTATTAACTTTTTATCTTGCAAGGGAACAACCTCAGTATTCACCATGAGGGGAACGATCCAACAGAACTATGGTGTACAGCCACACTGGGGTGCACAGTGAGCCTTAAAAATATGAAAATATATTTCAATGTGAAAAAAAATTAGACATATTATTCACAAAAAAAGCAAATGTTCCCAAGTGATTCTAAGTAATGTCTAGGAAAATATAAAGAAAATTAAATATGCTCATTCACACACCTATATTGATGTACAGTTAGAGAAAGGAAAAGTCTAAAGGAACATTTACTAACTAGACTTCAATATCTACCTCTTGGGTAAAGATGGGTTGGGGAATTCCCTGTGTTGCTTGACAGTTTCTGAAAAGAACATATTTAAAATTTGTGCAAGAAGTAGAGGAAGGACAGGTGAGGATTATGATTGCCACTGAAGTCACTGTTACTTCTACATCTATGGTCATTACCATCCCCATATTGAATGGGTCCTCAGCCAGGGGCTCGGGCAGGATTCCAGGCTGTACATCATGGCCTCTCCATAGTTCATGAACGTCTTTTGCAGTCTATGGGGAGGAAGCAAACAATATGCAACTCTAAACGTTTTTGTTAAAGGTACAATTGACTCCTGCAGTGAACCAGCATTCTATATTTGTGTGTTAGCATGGGGCGTTGTGTTAATTTCCTAGTAATCTTACTATATACGATCTTCATGAGTTTGCCTTTTATTCCTTTTTCCTTGTTTTTCTTTTGCAGTTATGTTTTTAAGCACAAATATTCAAGTGGACTTGTCCTTTTGGAATTAATGTGCATTGATTTAGGTCTGTAAAGCAGGAAAGAGGGGATATGGTCAGGAAGAGAAGGAGGTGGAGAAGAAGCAGAGAGGAGGTGGCCAGCCAGTGGCTCTGTGTTTTCTGGATTTGCATTCGTCTTTTCCATCTCCCATTGTGGGAGGATATTTAAAGTGGCTGCCCTGGATGAGATCCTGTACAAAGGTCGGGCTCCTTTGTACGATGAGATGTGTGAGTTCCAGCCTCTCCCACTTCCCTTGTCCCTCTTCCTTTGTTAGGGTGGGGACAGCCCTGCTGTTGGATCTTACTGGTTTGGGCAGAAGCAGGAGGGAGTAACTATCAGTTTCAAAGATCCAGGATATACAGTGTTAATTATGGGGCTGCTAGGACAAAGAAAAGACCCAGACTTCTTAGGAAGCTAGGCTTTGGGGGAATAGACAGTAGAAGATGGATAATTGGGGGTCTGTTGGAAACAGGGGTGGTCCTTCTATTTTTACTTTTGCTCCTTGGGATCACATTTGCAATCACATTGCATGGGACTGGCAAATATGTGAGTCTGAGGGGTGCAAATTGAAAAGCTATGGGCATCAGCCAGGAGCCGGTAGACACACCTGTAATCCTCACTACTTGGGAGGCAGGGATCAGGAGAATGACCTTTGTGTTTCAAAGTCAGCCCAGGGGAAATAGTTTGAGAGACCCTATCTTGAAAAAACCCAATACAAAGCAGGGCTGGCAGAGTAGCTCAAGTTGTAGACCACCTGCCTAGCAAGTGTGAGGACCTGAGTTCAAACCCCAGTGCCACCAAAAAAAAAAAAAAAAAAAAAGCTGTGGAGATAAGTATCAGTGATACACGGAGTGACAAGTTGGGTAGCAGTGGGGACAGTGGTGAAGCATAGAACATCTCATTCTAAAGGGTTGATTGGGGCTCAGCTGCAGAAGAACAGAAGGAACTAAGGTCTGTGGCTCTGTGTTTTCTGGATTTGTATTCGTCTCTCCCATCTCCCATTGTGGGAGGATATTTGAAGTGGCTGCCCTGGATGAGATCCAGGTGTCAGATTGTCTTGCTAATAGGGAAAGGCAGATTATTATTATTTTTTTTTGATCAGATATCTCCAAATTTTTAAACAATTGGCTTAAAAAAAAAAACCAAACAAGACCTGGAAGTCCTCCCAAAACTTCTCTGAAGGCCACAGTCAGATCCTCGGCTACCATTCAGAAATCTCTGCATAGAGAAGGAGGAAAGAGATGCCAGCAGCAAAGAACCAGTCAGGCAGTCACGAATGTCCAGATACCCAGGGACAGGACAACCCCAGCCACCATGGTGAGAAGCAAAGATTAACATAATGGTTAAGAATGGAGTCAAACAGGTCTGCAAACACTGGCTCTGTGGTTTCCTGGCTAATGTGACCCTGGACAAGGCACTCAAGCCTCACTGTACTCATCTGTAAAATGGGAATGGTGCCCATCATAAGAGTTTACTGAAAGGAGTAAAGATGGTGCACAGGCCCTTGGCAGGGTAGCCTGGCATAGCAAAATTCTACGATGTAACTGTTGAGTGAGCAAATGCTTTTAAAAGACTTTTCCCCCCAGTACTGGGGTTTGAACCCAGGGCCTCTTGTTTGCTAGGCACACTCCCAGTCCTTTTTGCTTTAGTAATTTTTTGAATAGGGTCTCAAGTTTATGTTCTGGCTGTGGACCTCGACCTCCCTATTTGTGCTTCCTGCTTTCTGGGATGACAGGTGCGCCACCACACCCAGATTTTATTGGCCTAGATGGGGTCTTGAACTTTTTGCCCAGGGTGGCCTGAAGCCTCTATCTGCCCAATCTCTGCCCCCTGAGTAGCTGGGATTACAGGCAACAGGCACCAGACTTGGTTTCAAAAGCATTTTGTGAGCAGAAAAGTGTTCTGTGAGTTAGGTGGTGTGACTGATACTCTTGGTACACCTATTTGGGTTTTGCTGATTTGGCTTTATGAGGAGTTTTATTTAATAATCTTTGTTTCCACACTTTTTCTTTTGAGACAAGGCCTTGCTCTATAACCCCAGCTGGCCTCAGACTCCCAATCCTCCTGCTTCAGCTGAAGTGCTGGGATTGCAGGTGTGTGCAACCCTGCTTCCACTTGGGAGGCTGTTGTGTACTCAGAGGACCTGTTTGGATTTGAGTGCTGTGGAGCAGCTGGGTCCTGAGGATCTCAGCATTATTTGTTTTCACTGCACTTAGCTTCTCCCGCTGGGATTGTTTTTGCATTAAAGTTTCAATATGTAAATCTTGATAACTATATGTGCTTTTAATGAATGAAGTCATTGTAAGCCACTCATTTCATCATTAACTGTGGTTTTTACTTTTACTAACTTGTCCTATAAGGGGTTTCGATTGGGTTGGGGAGAGGCTGGAGGTGGGGAGGGAAAAGGGAAGGAAGGAGGTCTAAGGATCCCCCATGTACACTGTAGTGCACAGAGTACTTTTTGTCCCTTGTCACTCTTGATGCCTCCAGGTGAGGGGAGTTGGTTGGGCTCTGAAGGATACAGGGGGCCTGAGCAGGTCTTCCAGCTCACTCACAACAGAGCGGGATCTGCACAGACAGTCTCTGCTTTGGATCCTTTCCCACCTTCCTCCACGGTGGCCTGAGAAGTGGCCTAGTTATTGGGTCAAAGGTCAAAGGAAAACCAACAGTCCTGGGATGGGGCCGCTGGTAGGGAAGGGAAAAGCAGGACTCTGACCTCTGAGTGAGGTGGTGGGCGCACTTCAGCAGGATGACCATACAGTGCACCATGAGGACCCCGATGGCCAGCAGGCTGACAGGTCCCACCTGGAGGGAGAGGAAAGGGGGACGGTGAGTCCTAAACAAATCACACCATGTTCTGGGCCTCAGTGCAGTCTGGGTGTTGGGGTTCCTCTCAGAATAAAGCCAGCTCTTGGGCAAGAGACGCTGTCGGAATGTCCTCATGCCCCCAGATGCTGTGTGTGAATGGCCTTCTTAGAACCACTGCAAAGTGGCTGCCCAGCCATGGCTAGGATTCTGCTGGAGACAGAGGGCTCACTGCCTCTCCCACAACCCTCATCCTTCCTCGTCTGACTCCAATTCTACCCTTCTAGAGTCCTTTGTGGTGGATTTAATTCCTTTTACACACACTGGTCCTCAGTTCTCTAAGATCCTTGAAGACCTGTGTTCTTTTTAAGAACGGGTGCCCTTTCTCTAGTACAGTTTATCCCCGGGGCCCTACAGAATTTGGGGTAGATGCTTTGTTGGAAGGAGCTGTCCTGTGCATTGTGGGAGGTTGAACAGATCCCTGGGCAGGATACCCAGGCCTCTCCCCATTAGGAGTCAGTGACTTCCCCCAAGCCGTAACAACCCAAACTATTTCTAGACATTGTAAACGTTTTGGGGGGTAAGGCTGGTATAAAAATGACCCCCAGTTGAGGATCACTGCTCTGAAGTTCTAATTTGTTAATGTTCTTTTTAATAAAACAAGGCTGATTACTAATCATATTCTTCCAGGTGGGATCAGAAGGGCTTGAAGAGGGACGATCTCACCTCCCTTTGTTCTGGACACTTGCCTTTATAGATATGCCCTGAGATGACATTATCTGTCACAAAGAAACAAATAAGGGACTGGGAGCATCACGAGGCTCCACTGGAGTGCAGTCTTCCTACAGTAGAGCCTTTCTCATCTTGTGGACTTCTTTATTCCTGGAGCTTACACATGCACATAGTAGGTACTCAGTAAACACTTCTCAACTGCATTGTCGGGGGCGATGGAGGTTAGAGAAATCACCTAACAAGTCTCAGGGAGCAAAAATTAAAGTACAAAGCATGATCTTAAGAAGCACCTTGCATGCTGGCAAGGACAGTCTGGCTGAAGCCACAGGGTCATTTACTCTCTGCAGACATCAATCCAGAACCAAGATCCTCCTTTTCAAGAGGAGGAGCCCACTCTGGCTGGAGCCACTGCAGATCGGAACTCACAGCAGAGGCAGCAAAGGTCTGGCTGTGCTTCCTTTAGACCCGGCGGCTACTTACTAGGTCTAGAGAGAAGGCCCTGTGGCTCCCTGTTACTAAAGGAGATTTACACATTTGCTGTCAACTCAGTTCCCCACTAAGATGTGAGTGGGGCTTCCTGTGTGCAGCCTCTGGAGCAGGGGCCGTGGGGAGGTGAAGAGGGAAGTCGGCTGCACTTGCCCTCAGAGCATCAGATCTGTTACACAGCAAATAGGTCTCACCTTGATGAGCATGCTAAGAATTCCAGGTAAGGCAGATATAAGTTGTCAAAAGACACAAGGCGAGGGCAGCTTTTATGTTTGAAGGGAACAGTACAGTTTTAAAGAGGTGGTCAATAGAACAAGGGGACAGCCTTGGCCAAGGGACAGAGGCAACCTAGCACAAGGGAGTGTGCGGATCGGCTGAGGCCCTAATGGAGATGGAACTCAGGACCTCGGACTTGCTAGGCTAGCACACTACCACTTGAGCCACACCCCCTTTTGGTTTTATATTTTGTTTTTGGGATAGGGTCTAGCTAACTCTGCCTGGATTGGCCTCAAACTTACGGTCCTCCTTCCTCCTGAGTAGTTGGGATTATAGGTGTACTCAACTTCTGGCTTCCAAGCCACTTTCTCATACACCACTAAGTGGTGTGAAACACAGTCACGTACTCAAATGCTTCAGTGCCCAGGCTGCTAGTGTGTGAAATGAAATCCTGAGGTCTGACTCAAGGCCTGCCCCCTCCAGGGATGCTCAGCTTGGCTCCAGGGGATTGACAGGCACACCGCAGAACCTCCCCCACCCCAACAGCACATTGACAGCGTGCAAAGGCCTCAGCAGCCATCACCCGCTCCCCAGTGGGCAAACAGATACCTCTTACCAATAAGCCAGCATTTTTCATGGCCAGAGGAAGCCCCAGGAGTCCCGTGCCAATGTTGCTTTTCAATAAATGGATCAAGGTTTGTGTGAACCTGTGGTGAGAGACGAGAAGGCACTGTTAGGGAAAGGGAAGGGCAGCTGACTCAGCTTCTGCCCAGAACTTCTGGTGACTGCTTTTAGGAAGAGGACAAAACCAGCTGAGTGGGGTCTGGGGCAGCTCCCAGTTCCAGGGACTGAATTGAAACATCTGCTCCAGGGGCAGTGCTGGTTCAGTGGCCCGGGAGATAGTCAACACAAGTAGGCTCCAAAGAAAAAGCAAATAAAATTGCCATCATTTGGAGAACGCCCTAGTACCAGTCTGTTTATTCATTCATCCAATTATTTCTTTCATGATTGAGTCACTCAAATAATATTTATTGAGACCCACGACATGTCAAACATTTAGATGGACGATGAGAAATTTATAATTGCCTCAGATTTATAGATTTGTTTTTTTGGCACCAGGTCATTTTTAACTGGAGACAAAGTTAAAAATCTTTTTACCATATATGCAGTATTTACTGATTTTTGGTCACTCCTTCACTCAATGACTCCACCAACTCATTCAAATAACTGAAATATATGAAGCTCTTCACACTTGGCTACATAACACAGCCATGCTATACTCTGGCTATGAATAGCCTTTAAAATTTACTAGCCTTTGCTATTGTGCATATAGAATACTTACTATGCCCCTGCAGGGCACCAGGTACCACAGTTCTAGGTGCTTTTTCACACCTGTGCTGGCAGCTCCTGTCCAAGCAGATCCCATCCTAACATAGATCGGAGGGGAGGGGTGGGAACGAATCCAGAAGGAACTTGAATGACGAGCAGCACTGAGTGCTTGAAGTGCAAGAGCACTTAGCTGAGGCAGGAGCCCGGATGCTGCTTCTGGCTCTGGCTCTGGCTCTGCCATCAACCTGCTGTGTTTACTTACTATTTTGGAACACCCCTGAGCTGCTTACATCCTGTTTCCTCATCCACCAAAGGAAGGGAGAGGAGGGTAATCCTTGCCCCGCCCAGGCCTCAGGGATGCTGAGAGAGCCTGAAGAGACAATGACATCAGGGATCTTGGAATCACGAAGTGCTTCACAGACGTAAGCATCGCCATCACCTTCACCTTCATCATCACCTGTGTTAGCAACCCTCCTTTAGGAGGAAGCAGAGCTGGGGTGATAGATAAGCGGGCAAAATAGCCCCTTTACCCAAAATGAAAGGGAATCTTGAGGAGGCCATAGGAGACAGAGTCCAAGGCTCAGGCTGAGGCAGGGGCCCCCTTCTGCCACTGCCTGAAGGTCACCAGGGGAGCAGCAAGGTCACACAGTGAGTCTGGCAGAGATAGTACTCGTGATTTCAGTACTCACAGAGACTTAATTTACACTAGGTTCAAAGAAAAAGCAAGAAGGCCTTGGGGAGCCCCATCCAATAGGGAGGGAGCAAAGGCTATGAGAGGCTTCTGTATTTTTCTGTGGATCTAGGGCAGGGCGGGGTCACCAGAGCAGGTGGGCCCTTTCACCTGTGTGACACCCTGCATCTCAGTTAATTCAATCCAGTCACCTAAAAATGGGGCACCTGTTGTTTCTTCACTTCCAAGAGGTAACATTTATTTCTTTTCTTGTGGATCTGGAGTTTGAACTTGAGCCACATCCCCAGTCCTTTTTCACTTTAGTTTGTTTTCAGATAGGGTCTCACACTTCTGCCAGGCTGGCCATGGACAGCAATCCTCCACTTCCTAAGTAGCTGGGATTATAGATGTGCACTATTATACCTGGCCCAACTTTTTTTTTAATCGTGATTATTGGCAAACATGTCAACACCCCCTCAAAAACTCAATTCTTTAGTAGTAATTTCTCCAAAAGTTGTGATCTCTCCTCACATCTGCCCTCCTCCCTCCATCTCACTTTTTTCCTATGATGGAGAGTATCTACCTCACTTGATCCAGAGCTCAGAGGAAAGGTGAGACATTTTGGAGCACCCATTGTACCCTTGCTAACGGCATTTCACATCAGGGCCTTGGAGACTAAATGAGACTGGAAGTTCCCATGAGACATTAAAAATAAGTTTATATGTTTTCCTTGAACCATAACACATTATCATTATAAAAGCAAATGTCAAAATCCCACCAACTGAAAGCAGTCACTCATCATGGCTAGCATTCCTTTGGGCAACCCCATTTGCTTCTAAGTACATAGAATTTGTTTTCTTTGCCCTTCTTCTTCTTCTTCTTCTCCTTCTTCTTCTCTTGGCAGTACTGGGGTTTGAACTCAGGGCCTCACAATTGCTAAGCAGGCACTCTACCACTTGAGCCACTCTGCCAGCCCTGTGCTACACATTTTCCGTACACATAGATTTCCTCCGTCATTCCTAATGGCTGTATTGTATTCTACAGTATGCTTATCCATACTTTCACCAAACTTTCAATATTATAATCATTGTTTCAATAAAATTATGACTACCTATGCTATGATCTCAATAGGAAAACCACTATAAGAGGAATTCTTAAAAATGTAATTATTTATATTTAATTATACTTGTGAAAGAAACTAGGTAGTAACACTTACAGTAAGAAACTCACACTTTAAACAAAACAAAGCACAAACAACCAAAAAATCCTTATAAGCATAAGTGTCTCTCCCGTATCTCTCAGTCTTCCACTTCTTCCCTAGAGGCAACCACTGCTGCCCATTTTACGTGTATGTGTGTGTACACGTGTGTGTGTGTACGTTCAAAGATAAGATACGCAAATAAGTAGTTGTATGTTTTATACAAATGGCATTTTAGGACTTGATATAAAACTTTGTTGTCCAGTATGCTGGCACATATCTGTAATCCCAGCACTCAGAGGCTGAGGCAGGAGGATCGAGATTTTAAGGCTCGTCTGGGTTACATAGCAAGACCCTATGTAAAAAAAACCAAAATAAAACAAAACAACCAACCAAACACATTACTATCTAATTCTTATCCAAAGGACAGGAGAGAGGACACTTTCCTGTGGCCTTATCAACACTGGATATTGTCACTTACAATGTCATTATAGCTCACGGCTAATATCCAGTCTGCTTGGCCATAACGTAGTATAGACAAAGTCCCACGTGTCTAGGTTTGGGGTTAGCAGATGACCTTTTGTTTACGGGAAGCTCTGTAGAAGAGAGGGGAGGGGAGGGAGGAGGTAAGAGAGGGAGACAGAAAGGGACCAGTTGTGTGAGGAGAGGAAAGAAGCCTGAGACTGAAAAAGCAGGAACACCAGCTGTGACGGGACAGTGTCCTCACTCTGGGGATGGCTGCTCTTTCTGGGCTCCTCAAAAAAGCCGGGAAGTAAGGGTGACCACAGAGTCACTGGGGTCAGGCCTCCCAGGATCCCCTTTCACCCCAGAACACATGAAGGCATCGAGGGAAATGGAAGGACATGGGCCATTCTGCCACAGCAGCAGCGCTCTAAGGTCTGGGAGGGTGACGGTTACTTACGACAGCGTGTCTGCTTCCCCAGCAAGAGGGACATTGTCTTGGGTGCTGCTGCTGCTTCTGCTCTCCAAAGGGTCCTTAGCCCCATCATCCAAGTTCAGCTCACTGTTGTCATTCCCCAGCAGTGACCTCTTCAGCATGGTGGCCAGGGAGCAGAGGCACGGGGGACAGGCCTCTGACAGTCTGGAATAAGTATCTGATGGGCTTGTCTCTGGAGAAGCCATGGTCACAGACCTGGGATGCAGGCTCCTGACCCCTGAGGGTGCCTGGTCCTAACTGGAGCCCAAAGTGTGAGAATCAGGGGAGCAGTGGCAGCACTTGGGGTGCTTAAGAGAGTTTCATCTCAGGGTGCTCCTCGGTCCCCCTTGCAATTGCCTACCAGGACTCACCTGCACTTTCAGCCTCTCTCAGTTTAGCCCTTACTGCTGTAGGGCAAAGTGAACGGTGTAACTGGGAGGACAAAAATACCATTTGACTGGAGGCTTTGCTCCCTGGCTGTGGGCCCAGGCTCAGTGCTTGCTGTCTCTGGCTAGGAAGAAACCAGAGCTACCTCACAATGGAAGCTGCCTGGACAATGAACTGCTGCAGAGTCCCAGGATGCAGGGGTGGCCCAGCAGAGGGTTATCCAGTGCCACTTTCTCTGGGTAGAGGTGAAGAGTGGTTTGTAAGATCCAGTTCAAATGCCACTTGCTCAGAATTTCTGCACAAGAGGGTGTGGACTGCCACTTATCTGGAAGGGAGTGCAAGTAACTTTAAAAAAATCATTTGTTTCCCAAGTATTTATTTATCACCTAATATACAGTAGGAACTGTTGTTTGTTCTGGGAGTACACCTGCGTGGACCATGTATAGCAATGTCTTCACGTGGAACTTCAAGTCTGGTGGGGAACAAGGAGAAAGAACCAAAAAAAAAAAAATGTCAAGAAGATTCTAGTTGGTAATAAGCACCAGAGAGAAAAATAGTGGGGGCTGGGGACATAGCTCAGTGGTAGAGCACGTGCCTACCATGTTTGAGGTCCTGGGTTTGATCCTCAGAGGTACCAAAAATAAAAATTGAAAAATAATGCAGAAAAGGGAATGGGTAAGTGTTGGCTAGGGGGAGGGCTGCAATTTTAGACTGGGTGGTCCCCCAGTGCTCATGTGTTAAAGTCTTGGTCCACTGCTGATGGCACTATTGGGAACTGGTGGAACCTTTAAGAGGTGGGGCTTGATGGAAGGAAATGAGGTCACTGGGGGGTGTGCCCTTGAAGGGGACCTTAGGCCTCAGCCTTCCCCCTCTTTCTCTGCTTCATGGCAGCCATGAGGTGAGATGTTTTGCTTTTCTGCTTGCTCCCCACCACCCCAACTTTCACCAGGCTCAAAGTGACAGGGCCAAGCAGCCATGGGCCGAGCAGCCATGGACCGAACCCTCTGAAACCAGGAGCCAAAAGAAATCCTTTCTCCATTTATTTATTGAATTGTTTTCCTCTTTTTTTTTTTTGGTTGTACTGGGGTTTGAACTCAGGGCCTTGTGCTTGCGAGGCAGGTGCTCTACCACTTAAGCCATGTCCCCAGCCCTTCTTTCTTTCTTTTAAGCTCAATAACCCAGGTATTTAGTCACAGCAACAGCAAGCTGTCTAACACAGGTGGTCAGAGATGGCCTGTTCTCATCTGAATATGAAATGTCCCCCACAGGTTCATTTGTTAGGCATGTGGTCCCCAGCTGGTGATGCCATTTTGGGAGGTGGCAGAAACTTTAGGAGGTGGGTCTACCTGGAGGAAGTCACTGGGGTAGGGCCTATGGAGGTACGCAGGTCTCTGGTCTCTTCCTCTCTCTGTTCCCTGTCTGCCATGAGGTGAGTGGCCACCGTGACACTCTGCCTGTTAGAAATGCTGTTCCCAAACAGTGATCAAAGAAACACCCTAGAGTCACTCAGCAAGGCAAAAAGAAAAGTTTTACTTCTGCAGAGGGGTGCAGCCACAGACCACAGTCTGATAGGCAGAACACAGTGAGTGGGGAGCCAGCTCAGTTTTTAGCTCTGTGTCCCTCACCCTGATGGACTGGTTTGGGTTCACAATCTTTGCAACTGATTACTTAGAAAAGGGGGCACGTGGGGGAAGGGGACCTTGAAGCAGGGAGAACAAGAAAATTCTTTTGGACAACATTCATCTTTAAGCAAGCAGTTTAAGATTAGGACATCTGGTGATAAACAGCTCTTTGACCACAAGGACCTTACAAGGTCAAGGAATATTTCACGAAGCATGTAGGCTGCAATTTGGGGAGGTTGGCTGGCATCTACACAATGATAGTTTCACATTAACTTCTTTGACAGAAAAGACCTGACTTTAGTTGATTCTCACAGGCCTCACCACGGACCCAGAATCAACAGAGCCAAGAACTATGAATCGAAACCTCTGAAACTGTGAGGTAAAAGGCATCTTTTCCCCCTGAAGTGTGCAGTTATTTTGACACAGCAACAAAAAGTCTAACACAGGGCCTCCCTGAGAAAGTTTCATTTGGGTCAAGGTTTGAGTGCCGTGAGTGCACGTGCCCCACGTGTGTCCTGGGTGAGAAACTTCAAGCAGAGAGACAGTCGGTGGAAAGGTCCTGAGGCAGAGGAGTGCCCGGGAATATTTCAGGAATGGCAATGAAACATAGGGCTGGCTTGGAGGACAGGTCAAAGGCAGGGTTGATAAGATGGCTTTCCCAGGATTTTCTTGTTAGTGCTTGTTGCCCTGGCACAATATTACTAGTGCTTCCTTTCATTACCATTAACTATCCTGGTTTAGATATTAAATTACATGGTCACACCAGAGAAGTAATGGAAGAGGGATAGAGTTAGGGTTAACAGAATCTTATAGGCCATTGAAACGCCTTTGGGTTTTTTGTCTGCTTGTTTGTTTTTTGTGGAAGAACTCAGTTCCTCTTGCTTGCTAGGCAGATTCTCTCTCTCCTCTGACAGCCTAAGGACTTTCCTCAAATTGAAGGCAGTTCCCTGCCCTTGCCACACTGACCCATTACTCCAGGACTTGTCCAATGGGTGCCCACTCTATAGTGCGTACTGTATAGCAATGAGCAAGACACACCATGGTTGCATTTTGAGCAGTCTGCACTTGATGGGAAGCAGAAGGCAGGCAGCGACAAGTGAACAACAGATGTGAGAAATGCTAGATTTGTGTTAAAATAAAGCAGAGCAAAACTCAAGATGCAAAAGGAAGGCTGAAAGTCACCACGAGAGCAGTCTTTCTCTGCACACATGGGCACTGGCACACATTCCATGCCTACTTCCACCAACATCATGAGATAATGTTGAAAAACTGTGGTCTACCACACGCATAACTAATCTTACCATCTCAACCGACTGTGCAGTTCCATAGCTAAGAATGCAGTAGGTCAGATAAGGGAGATCACGGTGGTGTTTCTCCCGTTGTGCCTGGCTTCTTTCACTTAGTGTAGTAGCCTCATTGCTCATGCATGTGATAGCTTGTGTCAGAAATTCTTTCCTCTTAACAGCTGAATAATATTTCATAATTATCAAATATTTGATCATCAAAGTATTGTCTATAAAACGGAGAACTGGAAATGCCCAATAGCGTTTTACTAAACAAAGTTAGGCACAAGAAACTATTTAAGAGCAGCAATGGGAATGCAAGACACCAGTGCCGCCTGGAGAAGTTTGTTATAAACTTAAAACCCAGGGATCACTGTTATTGTTGTTGCTAAGCCACTTTCCAGCACTATTTATTGAATAATCCACCCTTTGTCATTTTGTTTGGAAGGTTCTTGTGATTTCTTTCTAACTTGGCCTTGAGATGTCTCTATTTTTTTTTTTTTTTTCTGGCTGTCCTTGGGATCAAACCCAGGGCCTCCTGCATGCCAGGCAAGCACTCTACCACTGAGCCACCTTCCACGTGCCTCTTGAGGGTGGCCATAGTCCAAGATCTGCATTCTCTAGGAGAGCCCTGGCTGGGAGGAGATTGGGTTTGAGTGTGCCTGTGAGGTGGGATGCAGAGGAGGCAGTGTGAAATAACAGAGAAACACGTGAAAGAAAAACACATGAAATAACAGAGGCAGTTTTTGTTACTTATAGATCCTGGAGAGAAGGGGACAGCCAGTGAGAAGGGGGAGATGTCTGGACACGCATGGGACATGGGTGATGCAACCGTGCGTGGGGAGTGACAATGAGAGATAGAAGGGGAGCTCTGAGTGGTGGGTTTAAAGCAAGAGGCACGGGTTCTAGCACAGTGGGTAGTGTGTAGAAAAGAGAATGATTTGCAGTTTTTGTTTTTCTGCTGTCTACTTCCCTGGTTTCTTTTGTACCTAACAGCACAGCATGCTGCTGAGTTTCTACAGCTTTCCAGGTGACCATATACATCACATGTGTGTGTATGTGTGTGTGTGTGTGTGTGTGTGTATAGTTAATAACATAGTGTCATCAAACAACACCCTTTACTGATTCCACACTTCACTGTTACCTGTGATCACCTTCCTCCCCCTCCTCAGGTCACACGAAGGCAAGTTTCTTGCATTTTTATAATGTGAAGAGTCTTTGAGAATTTAGATTTTCTCATGAAATTCTACTAAGCTTTTTTCTCAGATTCTGTCAATGGCCAGTTTTTCAGCCCTGATCTTAGGTGTTATCTATGGTAATAGGTTTTAGTTAGTGTTAGGTCAGCTTTGCTTTCATAGGGAAAGCTCCTGGTGTACTGTTCTTTTAATATGTTACCAGATTCTATATGCTACTAAGGAGTATATATATATATATATATATGATATTTGTGCTTGAGCATAGTTTTTAATATGTGCTTCGTCAGGTTTTGGAATCCTTTGTACCTAAAGTAGACTTTCTTCTCCCCACTCAGGCAGTAGTGTGTGGGGGGGAGCAGCCTGCTATCCTACAGTTGCCCAAACCCCTGCCCTCCACTGCATAGCTGATTTTCTGTTTGTAAAGAGAGGCTGTGTGGGTTCTATTTTTTTCTTTTTCGACAGGATCTAGTCCAGGTTAGCCTCCAACGAGCAATCTTCCTGTCTCTGCCTTCTAAGTGCCAGGATTAGGGGCCTGCCCCGTCACCCCCAGGCTTGGGTTTCCTTAATGCCCTAGAAATGACTTTTCTATTTTTGTCCTCTGATCACCACTGTTCAAATGCTTGTCTCGGGCCCACTTTGCAGTGAGAAGCCTTCACATACAAATGCTTGAGTCCTGCACCCATCTGTCACATGTTTGATTGTCAACTTGTTTAGTATTTCTGTGCTTGTTTCCTTATCTAAAAATGGAGGCAGTGACTGTATATATGTACCTCACAAGGTTGTTTTAAGGATTAAATGAGAAAATCCCCTGCAAACAAAATAACCTAAGAAATACTCAGTGAGAAAATGGAGGAAAGATTTTCTGTGATCCTTCACTCAACAGCAAGCTCCAAAAGTTAGAGGAAGAGTGGTTTAATCGGGGTGGCGGTGGGGGCGGGGAGAAAGTCGTGCGCGTGTATGTGTGTCTATGACAGACAACTTTACAACCATGCTACCTCCCAAATACCATTTTCACCTTCAGAGTTTGGATATTGCTGACACTTGCTTTTATACGTTTCATCAATGTCGCTAAATTTATTTTTGTCTTCCAAGATTTAAGTATGGCCAGAAGTAGTCTCAACAGTAAGATGACTGAGTTTTTGTTTTTTGGTGGCACTGGAATTTGAACTCAGTGCTTGGTAGGTAGGTGCTCTTATTGCTTGAGCCACACTGCCAGCCTTTTTTTTGTGTGTGTGTGTGATGGGTTTTTTTCTAGATAGGGTCTCGTGAACTATTTGCCGGGATTGGCTTCCAACTGCAATTTTCCTGATCTCTGCCTCCTGAGTGTCTAGGATTATAGGTATGAACCACTGGTGGGGACTGTTTTTAATAACAGAGGAGACAGCCTCCAACTTCGCAAGGATGAGTGGGGTGACATTGGAGTGGGGCAGGAAGAAAAAGTCAAGAGAGGAGGACCGTGTTGCTGAGGCTTCAAACCAATCCTTGGGAGTCCTTTGGGTCTGCTGATGAAACAGAGCTCAGGGTGGAAATGGTGGCTGGTCTCTGGCAAGGTACCCTGCAGCCCACTGAACAGGCTATGAGGGCCCCATCTCTCAGCAGAGTCATGTAGGTTAGGGACTTGGGTGTGAATGGCCAGCCCCTCCCCAGTCCAAGAGGGACTTGTGTTTATGAAGTACCTTCTGGAAGTCCAGCAGGGAGAAAGGAACATGCAAAAAGAGCAGGCCAGACCTGGGTGTTGGGACAGTCCTGTCCCCTCTTCTCCATGTTTCCCTATGCTGCTCAAAGATGACAATGACAGAAATAAGTGGGAAAGGGCTTTTTTCTTTTCTATTTTTTTCTGGAGGGACGGTATTTTGGGTGAACTTGGGGCCTCGAATTTGCTTAGGCGGGCTCTCTACTACTTGAGCCTGGCCACCAGCACTTTTTGTGTTGGTTATTTTTGAGATAGGGTCTTGTTTATACCCAGACTGGCCTGGATCACAATACCCCTATTTGTGCTTCCCTGAGATGACAGGCATGTAGCACCATGCCCAACTACTGAATGAGATGGGTCTCTCAAGAAGTTTTTGCCTGGGCTGGCCTTGAACCTCCATTCTTCTGATCTCTACCTTCCAAGTAGCACGAGCCACTGTGCCTGACCAAGGGTGTTGTTTTTAATGTTTCTTAACACCAAGGCTGAAACAAGCTTGGATCACCTCCATAAATCACCCCACCCCACCTCCCAAGCAATAGATCAGTAGTAGGGGGTGGGGGATGGGGTGAGTGGGGGGGTGGGAGGGGTACTGAGGTATTAACTCATGACTGATCTGGCCCTGGCTGCCAGCCAAGGTCAGGCATGAGAACAGACACTGGAATGTAAAGATGGCAAGACAGAGTGGCAGGAGGACCACACTCAGTGTTAGGAGATCCAAGTTCTACTCAAAACTCAGCTGAAACGGTACTACCTGTGGCATCCCAGAGCAGTTAGTGTCCCTTGTCCTTACAAGGACCCGGGATGGGATGATATTGACCACTGAATACCTGGTACTCTTCCTTGATGAACAGTGAACTGGCTGCCTGGGAGGGACAGATGGTTTTCCACTCATTAATGTATCCTCTTTAGGAAAAGCCACATTTCAGTTAACCTTTGTTGCAGAAACCTCCCATACCATGTGAACTAAAAACACATTTATTTTTTCTCGCAATTCTGTGGGTCAGTCGCAATATATATATATGTATATGTATATATATATATATACATATACATATATATATGTGTGTGTGTGTGTGTGTGTGTGTGTGTATTTGGTGCTGGGGATGGAACCCAGAGTCTTATGTATGCTAAACACAAACTCTATTACTGATCCCCCATCATGTGCACAATTCATGTAGTCTGGACCAGCTTGATGAGCTGGGCATAATACAGAACAGCTTCACTCATGGGTCTAGAGGTTGACAGGCTGGTTGATCAGGGGAGCAGGGCTCAACAGGGATGATTCATTTCTGCTCCATGTGGTCCCCTGTCCTCCAGGGAGCTGGCCCAGGCTTTTGCACTTGGTGGTCTCAGCTCCATAGAGCAGAAAGAGATTCAAGTCATCACCAAACCTCTGCTTGCCTCATGTTTGCTGATGTCCCATTGGCCAAGGCAAGTTGCAAGGTTAAGACCAGATTCAAGAGGTGGAAATACAGACTTCACTTCTTGATAGGGGGAGCTGAAAGTTCACATTGTGCAGAGGAATTTATGGCATTTTTCCTATCTATTATAAGAAACTTGCATTAGGTTTGGCACAAAGGAAGTACTGGAGAATGAATGTCTGTTGCCAGAATTCAGAAGTGAAGTCTATTCAAATAACGTCTAAGTCAACCACCCCATGTCCCTGGCACATCTACCACTATACTGCCTGCTCTTTGTTGGCATCTCTGAGCTGGACTAAAACTTTATCTGGTGGTGTGAAAAGTTCATTGCCCTTAACTTGAACGTGGACAGTTCTTTTCTATCTGAGAGTTCAAGCTCACATTGGTCATCTTGGTCCCATCCATCTCAAGGTGTGTGAGTTCTACACACCTTGCTGAGTTATGTGTCTCTCCCCACCCCCATCTCCCACCTTTGTGTTCTTTGCACTGGTCAGGAAAAGGGGAAGCCTTTTGTCTACCAAAGCATGGTCCGCCTTAACTAGCAGGTACCTCCTGTGGTCAGTTGATGCCATTTGGCTCCTCCTAGTGGCTCAATCTTGCATAGCACCAGTCAAGGGTGTGAAACAACGCTGTGAATTATAGGAAGTTGGGTAGAGTGCAGAACCTTCCATGGAAGAGCTCTTAATGCAGTGGAAAGATAGAAATAAAGACAGATGAGGAGAGAGAGAGAAAGAGAGAGAGAGAGGAGAGAGAGAGAGAGAGGAAGAGAGAGAGAGAGGGGGAGGGAGAGAGAGAGAGAGAGAGAGAGAGAGGAGAGAGAGAGAGAGAGGAAGAGAGAGAGAGAGGGGGAGGGAGAGAGAGAGAGAGAGAGAGAGAGAGAGAGAGAGAGAGAGAGAGAGAGAGAATAAAAAATGACAACAACATTGTTAAAAAAAATTACCTTGTTAAAAGAAAATTACCAGTTAGACCTTGTGGCTTGTTTTACCATGACTTTGCCCACAGAAAAGGCTAAGCAGCAACATAAAGGTAGTGTGTATAAAAAAGTCCATGCCGTTGTGAGTCAGGCACTGGTGGGTGAAGAGTGGTGCCATTCTCACTGACTAAAAATGGTGGAGTTGGAAATGGTGAGAAAGTCTTCTGACTCAATCAGTTCATCCAGGGCCTGGTAGGTCCCCACCACGAAGCCCACGAAGCCCAGGATGCTGATGAGGGCGTCCTTGGCGATGGTGAGGGGGCTCATGCCCTCTGAGCAGTAGGTGCTGATCTCCAGCAGGGGCGGGATGATGAGGGCCAGGGCGCTGCTGCTCACGGAGCCCACCAGGGAGAGGACCAGGTCCAGGCGGGGGATGAGGATGGCCAGGATGCCTATGGAGATGACAGGGTCAGATGGAGAATCCCAGGCTTAAGTTTGGTGTTAGAATCTTCTTAAAAAGCAAACCAGATGTTTTTCAGAAACTCGGTTGTAGAAAGTACAAATTGAAAGTCTTCTAATGTACACATTAAAAATTAGATGTATATCCTCCCAATTGGTCAATCACACTCATTCATATTGTTGGGAGGAAAATCTTTTTTTCTGCCAAATTGGGTTCAGTGATTGGAGGGCAACAGGTTTAACAGGCAATAGAGAAATTTTTTTCTAAGTGAACTTCAGAGACTTCAGATGAGTTGGATTCCAGACCAGCCAAAGACCTGGGCTTACAGATCTGCTTAATAAGGGGAAAGGTAGGTATGCCAGCTTTGAAGGGTTTGTTTAAGCAACTGGTCTTCCAGTGATAATGGCTAGTCTGCCTGGCTGTAATCCTCCCAGAGAACGGATTTATGGAAGCTATATTTTTTAGAACACACTGCTTAAGTCAGCAAAAGAAGTTTAGATAAAGCTTTTTCCTACAGCTGCTGCTTATTCAAAAGTTTATACTTAAAGTAATTGTATGTCATCTAAGTGTACATACATATATATAATGTACACATACTGGCGGTACTGGGGTTTGAACTTGGGGTATCACACTCTACCACTTGAGCCATGCCTCCAACTTTTTTTGTTCTGGTTATTTTGGAAATGTGGTCTCGGTTTTTACCCAGGCTGGCCAGAATGGCTCTCCTTCCATTTTATCTTTCTTGCTATTGCTGGGATGATAGGCACACAGCACTGTGCCCAGCTTTTTTCCACTGAGATTGGGGTCTCACAAACTTTTTTTGTCTGGGCCTTTCTGGAATGGTATCCTCCCTATCTCAGCTTCCCAATCCTCCTAGGATTACAGACCTGAGCAACCAGCACCAGCTCTAAGTGCACTTGATCTTAGACAAAAGTCTGAAAAGTGATCTCTAAGTGATCATACATTTAACGTCAGCCCAAATTTATATAGCCCTGTGAGGTCAAACAACACCTGTTGTCACGTTAGACCCTGACTCCCCATTTTCACGTCTGTCTTGGAGGTGAAGGGCACTAGGTTCAAATCCTACTTCTTCTAATATTAGCCAATTGTTTATCACTCTCTGCCTCAGTTTCATCTTTTATAAAGTAGGATTTAGCATAATTCTACTTCATAAGAGTGCTCATGAGGACTGAATAAAGTACTATGAAATATGGATTACAAAGAGCTTAGCACAGTGCCTGGCACACACCAAGTGTCCAACTAATGTCAATTCTTACGATTATTAATTGATAAGCTATGCTACTTCCTCTGTCTGAACATCAATAACTTATTCTAATTAAGGCATAGGTAAGAATGGAGTTGTCTCTAGGATTAATGAGTAAAGCTTTAGAATGTTTCCTGAAATACAGCAAGTGCTTAATAAATGCTGGCTGTCATGACTCTCCTCTACCATGTGGCTGACACCTGCCAGCTCTCAGGAAAAGCTCATCAGGAACCTTGAGCTTTCTACTCACATGTCAGGCAGACCATGGCAAGGCGGATGGACAGGTCCACAGGCAGTGCCCAGCCCTTTGGCACCTGGGAGATGGTGAAGGGGATGATGATTTCTGCAGGGACATAGAACTGTAGCGTGTAGGTACATAGGATGCCAATGATGTAGAGGAGCTTGACTGACTGGTACAGCCTGCAAGACAAACCAGAGCCATGCTCCCTCTCCAAGGTCACTGCGCTTGGACACCCGATCTCCTGGGAGCATTAGCCTCTGACCTTGGGACAATCCCTTGGGTCTGTGCTCCCCTGCCCTCTCTGAAAAGAGTCAAGATTAAATGTCCCCAGGGCAACAGGGAAGAGAGCCAATGGAAACAGCTAGAGGGACATCTCTACATGAAACGAGGAATCTTGGGTAGACATGGCACCTTTGCAAATCCTCTAAATTGATGCTCAATTTCAGATTTCTAGGAAAGAGAGGCTCAAGTCAGGTCCCTTGCTCAGGGAGACACAGTTGATAAGAGGCCAAGGCCACAAACCCTGGATCTAAAAGACTCTAGTGCTTTGTGAGCCCTGAAATTTTCTGGATTACCTAATGGTCTTGGCCTTCAACAAATGCTTGTGGTTGGTTGAAAAACTGCAGAATCCCAAATCCTTGAGGGAAGAGAGATTATAAGTGGGGTTGTATGGAGGCGGGGGCATGGGTGGGAATTAAAGGAGAAACAGGTTACGTGCAGGTGTTAGGGGAACGTTGAGTTCTATCAACGGTCCTATCGGGGGCTGGTACCAGTGGGAGGGAGCCGTGTATAAGGAAAGGGTGTAGGAGGTGAATGTGGTAGAAATATTATGTAGTCATGTATGGAAATGAAAAAATGAGACCTGTTGAAACGATTCCAGGAATGGGGGGATGGGGAGGAATAAAGAAGAAAGATGGAGGGGGTAAATTCAACTATGACATATTGTAAGAACTTTTGTAAATGTCACAGTATACCCCCAGTACAACAATAATAAAAAAATACAATTTTAAAAAGTTTTGTCTAACCTGTGGAGATGTGACTATTTTCATTTAGGTTGAGCCACCTTTCATGCTTAAGAAATGAGTGTGTGTTTAGGCCATCCCTTAAAAAGGCAAACTGCCACGTTTTTGTGGCATTTGCTCACACCACCCCAAACTGATGAAACTTTGAAATAAACATCTTTTGAGCAGTTACCACAGCCAGATGCTTTGAGACAGATGGCAACTTAACCTCGCGACAGCTCTGCTTTGTAGAAAGTGAAACTGAGGCTCAGAGAGGTGAGGTAAGTCACCCGTGGGTGCAAGCTAATATGAAGTACAAGTGGACACAAGCCTGGGCACACCAGAGTTGTCTCATTTGACAACTAGTTTCTCTGCTGTCCCCTTCTGCCATCCCTTCTTTCCTTGGAAATCCCCAGCTTCTTTTCCACTCTGAAGGGCTGCTTTTCTGGTAGATGTTATAATTTGTGTGCAGACATGGTCTACCTCTCCCTCATTGCCACTGGATCACGAGCTGGTGGAGGTGGTGGAGCAAAAAGACCATACTCCCCACCCATGCGTCTACAGTGGCATTTGCAGTGATTGGTTGTTGTATGGCATTTATCATCTTGGGGAAAAGCTCCATTCAGGCAAAGTGGGCTTCCAAGTGACTGCTTAAAAAGACAGAGGCATTGTTTAACTACTGTCATGCCCCCAGTAGGAGAAAGCACTGCATGACGCAGGGTGGGTTCAGGTGTCTATTTAAATATGGCACTGTTGGGGGGAGGAGGATGAAGGAGAACGGTGGAGGGGGTGAATTCAAGTACAATACATTTGATATATAGTAAGAACTTTTGTAAATGCCACAGTGTACCCCCACCCAGCACAACATTAAAAAATATGTGGTACTGTTGAAGTCCGTGGCACCTAACTGGTTCATGAACTGGGTATATTTGGACATAAAATGTTTAAAGATTCTAACAGGCCCTCAGATTGGTATCTGCTACACTCATTTATCCTAGTTTAGCGGTTGTGCTCCTTTGGATGTGGCAGGGAAGGCTTGACATCACAGCCTTGGTAAATGGAATTCTAAGTGTTGCCACCCACAAGATGCCTCTTGTCCTCTTCCAGTGCTCCTTAGGTAACCAAGGACTGTCACCTCTGTCTTCTTTTCTTAAATCGTGTCCTCCTTACACTAAGATATCAATACTAACTCAACTCGAGAGGCTGTTGTTGAGGATCTCTGGAGCTCAAGGTTCCAATGATAACTTCTCTGTGTAGGAGGCTCTCTAGACTTTGGTTTCCCAGTTGCAGAAGGGAAGAGCAACAGACTTTTATGTCCAACCATCCCTCACTCCCTACCACCTGAGAGCCCACAAAGGTACCAGCAGTTGGGCAGGTTAAGGGTTATGCTGGCCTGGATGTCACCTCCAAAGCGCAGATAGCCCAGAGCCCCGATGCCAATGTACAGGACGGTGATGATAGACATTCCCAAAGACAGGATGGCGGGGAAGCTGCGGGCATCCTTCATCTTGTTTTCCAGAGGCAGAACCTACAGAAACATCAGCGTGTAGAGGAAGAGGGAGAGGAAAAAAACAACTGAATATAAAGAAGAGAAAGGCATGCCACTTCTGGGCATATACCCAAAGGAACTGAAAACAGGGATTGAAGAGGTGTTTGTACACTCTTGTTCATAGTAGCCAAAAGGTAGAAGCCACCCAAGACTCCATCGACAGAAGATGGACAAACAAAATGTATCCTTGCAATGGAACAAAAAATGAAGGAAATTCTGATACCTGCCACAACATGGGTGAATCATGAGGAACTTATGCTAAGCAAAATAAACCAATCTCAAAATGACAGATATGGTATGATTGCATTGAAGGCAAGAGGCAGGAAAACTATACTTTCAAAGTGAAAAAAAAGAAAAAAACCAAAAAACTCCAGAACTACATATTGTGCAAAAATATTCTTCAGGAATAAAGGCAATATCAAAACAACCTCAGATTAAAAAAACAAGAAGAAGAAAAACTGTTGCTGTCAGGCCTGCTGTAATAGAACTGGCAATGGAGAGTCTTCATGCCAGAGGGAAGCTAGAGATTCCAGCAATAGAGAGAGGGACAGTAATGGTAAGTATATGCACAGATAAAATAGGCCATTTTTCTTTTAGTAAATTACAAGGACAGTGTATGAATATTGAAAGCAAAAATGATAACATTGTCTGATGGTGTTTTAATGTGTTTAGATGTAATACACATGGCCATATAACACAAAGGAAGAAAAGGCCATATAACACAAAGGAAGAAAAGCAAAGAAACTCATGATTTTTACCATTTCTATGGCTTACTAGCAATGACAAAATATTAACTCCAGCTAAGTCATGAAAAGTTATAGATATTGTAATTGCTAGAAAAAGCACTAAAAATATTTTAGAAAGAAATATAGACAAAAAGTCAATAGGTAAATTAAAGAAGTATTTAAGAAGATTTAAACAACTCAATAGAAGGCAAGAAAGGGGGAAACAGAAGGGAAAGCACGCGGAAGGATAAAACAGAAAACAAATAATAAAATATGAGCCTAAGTCCAATCATGATAATTACATTAACTGCAAATGGTTTAACCACACCAATGAAAAGATGAAGATTATCAAATTGAATTAAAAACAAGACCCAACTATATTCTGCCTCTAAGAAACCCATTTTAAAATGGAATAAAATTAAAAAGTATTGCTGGGTGCTGGTGGCTCACGCCTGTAAACCTAGCTACTTGGGAGATTGAGATCAAGAGGATCATGGTTTGAGGCCAATTTGAGCAAATACTTTATAAGGCCCCCATCTCTAAAAAACCAGAGCAAAATGGAGTGGAGGCATGGCTCAAGTGGTAGAGCACCTGCTTTGCAAGAGCAAAGCCCAAGTTCAAATCCCAGTCCCACCAAAAAAAAAGTATTATGCATTGCAAGAAAACTTTAGACCCAAAGTTCTTATGAATTTAGATGCAAAATCCTTCAGTAAAATACCAGTAAACCAAACTTAGCAGTCCATTTAAACAATTATTCTCTCTGACCAAGTGAAACTTATACCAGGAATGCAAGGATATTTCAATATATGAAATCATTGAAAGTAATGCATTGTATTACAGGAAAAAGGGGAGAGCACCTTAATTGATGCAGAGAAAGCATGGACAAATTTCAACAACAGCTCATGATAAAAACATGTGACCAACAAGGAGTAGAAGGAATATACTCAACCAACAGCAATCCCTCAGTGAACATCATACTTAATGGTGAAACATTAATGCTTTCCAAGACAAGGATGTTCGCTCTCATTGCTTCTGTTTACCATTGCACCTCAAATTTCAGCCAGGTCAATTAGGCAAGTTAAAAATAAACATCCTGACACACACACACACACACACACACACACACACACAGGCTACTAAACAAATTTAATGAAGTTGCCTGATGTAGAATCAATATTCAAAAATCAGTTGTATTTTCTATACAATTGTAGTCAACAATCTAAAAAAGAAAATGACAATTTCATTTATAATAGCATCAAAAAGAATAAAATACTTAGGCATAAATTTAACCAAGGAGGTATACACTAAAACAACAAAATATTATTCAAAGAAAGACCTAAATCAATGGAAAGACATCTAAGTCCATGTTCATGCACTTAGAAGACTCAGTCCCCAAATTGGTCAGTGAAATCCCTGTCCAAATTCCAGCTGCCTTTTTTTTTTAAGGTTGGTAGGACTGGGATTTAAACTCAGGTCTTTGTGTTTGCAAAGCAGGTGCTCTACCTCTTGAGCCATACCTCCAGTCCATTTTGCTCTGGTTATTTTGGAAATGGGGTCGTGCAGACTGTTTGCCTGAGCTGGCCTTGAATCAGCCTCTAAGAAGCTGGGATTATAGGTATGAGTCACTAGTGCCCAGCTGCAGCCACCTTTTGGGGTAGCAATGGGCAAGCTGATCCTAAAGAAAATATGGAATTGCAAAGGACTCCAAATATCTAAAAAAATTTTTTTGAAAAAGTAACAAAGTTGGAGGACTTAACTTTCATGATTTCAAAATGACTATAAAACTACAGCAATCAAAATTTCATGATTTTGATATAAGGGCTGCGTATAGTTCAATGGAGTAGAATTGACAGTCCAGAAATAAATCCATACATCTATAGTCAGTTGGCTTCTTTTTGAAGCAGGGTCTTCCTACATTGCCCAACATAGTCTTGAACTTGTGGACTCATGAGATTCTCCTGCCTCAGTCTCCCAAACAGCTGGGATTACAGAAATGTACTGCCATGCCAAGGTATGGTCAGTTGACTTTTGACAAAGTTACCAATATTCAAAGTATTCAATGAAGAAGGAGTAGTTTTTCCAACAACTTCTGTTGCGATAACTGGATAACATACAAAGAATAAAGCCATATACAAAAATTAACTTCAAATGGATTAAAGATCTAAACTCTTAGGAGAGTTTTATAGGGGGTTAGTCTTCATGATACTGGATTTGACAGTGAATTCTTAGATATTACACCAAAAGCAAAATCAGAAAAACAAAAAATGATAATTATACTTCACCAAAATTTAAAACTTTTGGGCATCAAGACACAATTAAGAAAAGTGAGATGATAATTCATTGAATAGGAGAAAAATTTGCTAATCATTTATCTGATAAGGATCTAGTATTCAGAATACATAAAGAGATGGTGGAGTGGCTTAAGTGGTAAAGCACCTGCCTCGCAAGCATGAGACCCTGAATTCAAACCCCAGTATTGCAAAAAAAAAAAGTGTCTAATTAATGTACAGACATTTGTGGACTGGGGGTGTAGCTCAGTGGTAAAGTGCTGCTTAGTATGCTTAAAACCATGGATTCAATCCCCAGCAACAGCAAGTGGTAGGCACGAGGCTCTGAGTACAAACCCCCATCCCACCCCCCACCAAAAAATACATAAAGAATTCTTACAATTTGACAAAAGACAACAAACCAGGCATCTGTGACTCATGCCTGTAATCCTAGCTACTCAGGAAGCAGAGATCAGGAAAATCACAATACCCTATCTTGAAAATACTGAACACAAAAAAGGGCTGACGGAGTGACTCAAGTGGTAAGCCCTGAGTTCAAAACCCCAGTACCACAAACAAAACAAAACAAAACAAAAAACAGACAATACCAAAACATCATTATGGTAATCCATTTTTACATTTTCATATATCATTTAAGACATAAATAAAAAGGATGGCCCAATTAAAAATGGGCCACAAACTTAATAGACAGTTTTCAAAAGAAGATATACAAATGGTTAACAAATACATGAAAAAGTGTTCAATGTCATTAGATGTCAGGGGAATGCAAATCAAAACCACATGAAATACTTCATATCTATTAGAATTCATATAAAAAACAACCCAAACCAAAACAGCAAACATGAAAAGTGAGAAGTTAACACTTAAGGCTTTGTGGGTAGAAATGCAAATGGTGCAGCCACTGTGGAAAACAATTTTGTGAAATATTAAAAGGAATTATTAATTACCAGAAGTCTCATTAGTAGGTCTGTACTCCAAAAAATTGACTACTTTTTTTGGAGGGAGATGAAATTTCTGGAATCAGAGAATGGTGATGATTGCTCAGTACTGTGACTATTGCATGCCTTCAACTGATGAGTTTTATGTTATGTGAGTTTTAGCTCAATAAAAATTAAATGTCTGGAAAAAGAAATATCACTCCAAATGCAAATCAAAAGAAAGTTGGAGCACTCCCATTACATTTTCTTTTTTTTTGAGGGAAAGGCTATTTGTTGGGTTGTGAGTTTCTGTTTCCTTTACAGATGCACAAAGGTCACTGAAAGATTGAAGGAGTAAGTCGGCTGAGCCTGAACACCAGCCTATGTCCCTGCAGGGCTGGCGGTGCCACCCCAACAGGCAGCCAGATCCAGCCCAGAGATCTGTTAGAGACCCCCAATCTGTCCATGAGAGGGAGTCGCCTTGTATTGTGGTTACCATAAAATAACTCCCTGGCATCCAAGCTTTCTAAAAACACCTTCATTCTGCTCAAAAAGGGCCATCAATAGATACAGAGAGGTCAAACTGAACAGACTCAACAAAACCAAGAGAATGTGTGAACCAACATTCTACAGCTGTTGGAAAAGAGCACACCAGGGGCTGTCCCACCTTCAACACACTGGTGATGAACTCAGTTGTGGATTGTCCTGGTCTTGCCCAGTGAAGTGTAGGATTCTGTTTTGAGGCTTTGTTGAAGAGGCCAAGGGTGAGACATATGACCAGGCTGCGGCTCACAGTCTTCAAAGTCACACTAATCTTCATTAATGTATTAGAGTCGGTCCGTTGTTACAGTTGCAAAGTTAAACGTTCAAACTCCTCTTCCTGGAAGTCCAGCAGCTTCTGGATTCACCTCTCTGAAATGTGTGCCTGGTGTGGCCTCAGCAAAAATGGAATTGCAACCATCCCAAACACTTTGTGGGAATGTGCCACTGTGGTCAGCTCTTGCTTTTCTTATCTAGATCGACCTGGTCCTAAGGTATTTTCTCTATTT